CAGATTCATATTTTATAGACTAAATAGCTCTATATGGATGATGTGGTCAAATTCATACTGACGGCCTTTACTTCCCCAGAAATTTCCTGTTACCCATTTGACAACTATTGTTGAAGTGGGCACATAATCATTTGAAATGGATGTTTTGTGTGTGTGTCCGTGCGTGTGTGTGCTTATTTGGACAGTCAGCATAGTGAGACATGATGCGGAAACTGCTGAGGTGTAGATTTATAGAAGACTGACAAGAGCACCATAAACAGATACAAATCATAATGAAGATGTCTGGGGAAAAAAATGTACTCAGAAATAAAATTGATAATAAAAATATATGTTTATCACATAGATCAATAGTGTATGCAAGGAAGTCAAACTCAGGGACGTAAATACAGTAACATCAGAATATTACTCTTTGCTGATAACCAGGTCTTGAAAGCAAAGACAGTCATGAAATTACAAGTCACAGCCATGAATGAAGAATGTAAAACAAATAATATAAGAATCAACACTGAAAAGACAGCAATAATGTCAATAGGAACAAAAGAAGCAGAATCCTTATACAGCAGTAGAGTGCGAAAGCATTAAACAAGAATCTAGGTTTTCATATCTGGAAACAACATTCAGCGAAGATGGTAATTTAGGTGAAGAAATCATCATTTTGGTGGAGTAAAGCTATGCACAGCTGGGCACGAGAGGTACACTGGGCGTACAAGAAGTCGTGTTACCCGGCACAAGACTGGCTCTATTAACCGCGGGACGCTGATTGTATGCTGAATAGGGAACTTGAGCACCCATGAACGTCTCCGGAGTGCTGTGAGGGTAACACATAACTCGTCATGGCATGAAGAAGTGCCTGTAACGGCAATGATAGACAGTACATGTGACACAGGCAGTCGCTGTGGTTTGCGGGCAGAGCTCACCTGAGGGTCGGAAGGTCTATGCCTTAGAGCAGGACACAGTCGACTTCATAGCCTCATGTACGCACAATTTAAAACTCAGCGAATCAACCATGTGCAAATGTAGATTGGCACCTGAGACAACAGATCATGTCCTCCATGACTGTCCCAAATACAACACATCAAAGTAAAACTTTTGGCCAAGAGAAACACCGGTGCAAGCCAAACTTTACGGGTCGCTGAGTGAATTACAAAAGACAGTGAATTTCATACTAAAGACAGCATTGCAGATACAGATAATCTATTTCAAGCGAACGAAAGAAGATGAAGAAAAAATTTACTGTTCTTTCTAAACCACAATGGGATTCCATATAAAAAACTGTAAAGAACCCTTGTAGCAAAAATGGCATATCAGAAAATTATGCTTGTCTCATAATCTTAATAGACTGTTCGGTGCGTGATGCGGCCACAATTACCTGGCTACTTTTACTATTATGGAAAGTACATGGTAGCCATTTTAGGCTTGGTCGATCTGGGTGCCACCTAGTTTAGAATTCGAGCCAAAGAACTTTAGGGCGACTGACGAGCGTCTAACCCAACGCTACACCGGATGAAATCTATCAGGACCAAGGTATTTCATCTTTCGTGAGGTGCGTTTTTTTTTTCCTTCCTAAAAAAAAAAAAAAAGTTTTTGGCTTCAGAAAGGAGGTGTCTGTTGTAAATGTAGTCCAAATGACAAGAGGGACACAATTAGCACCCAAACAATACGGCATGATCTTGAAACCCAGGTCTTGCAACATCGAGTGGATCAGTCACATTTACGATGCTTTGGACATGTATGCAGAATGGGATAGAATGGGTCACCACAGCAGGCATGGGAAGCCAAGAACCAGTGAACTTCAACCTCCAAGGTGACCCAGGGTTCGCTGGGAAAACAACATTCGAAAATCTTGAAAGCCCCCAGGTTTTCCCATTCTAACACAATGCATAAATGGTCAACAGTGGCTGTAGTCGAGCTGCTGCTACTGGAATTGAGTGAGTGTACGAATTATAAATATAGTAATTCCAATTTTAAAAAAAGCATCAGAAAACAAGCACTGAAATGGGAAACATGTAGATTGAGGAAACCAGGAGTTTACGATAAGCTGTACACTAACCGTTCATCAAGGAGGCGTAGAAATCCTGGCCTAGACTCCTTACACGATAGTAGTAGTACATTATACCCCACTAGGACATCACACAAGCGATAAACACCCGATGACACAAAGTGCCACCATGTTGATGAGGATCAACCGTGGAAATGTCCCAGAAACCGCGTTCAGCCATTAGGCCATATTTATGGCCGGACTATATTGCGGCCCCTGTCAAGAGTCAGGGTGGGGCTTCAATATAACTAAAAATTTCATCCTAAAAAGGACGGGAAGTTTATGTAACTACATGGCCAATGAAGACACCGTTTTTGGGGTGCCTAACTGGTCAGTTATTAGTACACACATGTTACCATACCGAGGCGCACACGCCATTTGGAGGTGAAATGTTAGATTCCTGGCACGGTGACTAGAGATTTGAAATATTATGTCGTCTGTTGTGTCCTATCTTTCTACTTCTTCCCATGAGTGCCGATCAATACATTATCTGTCTATTATATATATATATATATATATATATATATATATATATATATATATATATATATATATATATATATATATATATATATATATAATATGGTATATCAGGAGCGCTAGTACCTCGGAGCTCACCCCGCCCCTCCCCTTTTCCCCAATAATTTTGCAAGGAGATTAGACAGCTTCCTTTAACCCCTATTCCAATGTCCTTTCTTCGTCGGTGTCCTTGCAAAATGTATATACCACAGAACTCTAATATTCGTTAACACCAATATTCGTCTTATTTTAAAGGGAAACAAATGTGTCCTGTTTTTTTTCGTTTTTGTTTGTTTCATATTCGTCCGAAAAGTCAATATTCGTCATTCCTCTAACGTGGGTGGCGAGTCATGAGACGAGGAAAAAGGAGATAAAGGACTGTGCTGAAATTAAGGTTGTCCACCTTGGCTGTCCACTTTGGTAAAAATGCTAGTTTTCCTCAAGAAATGGCACTCAAACATCGCTATAGTTAATAAGTGTATTGATTCATTTGATGTCAACGAGTTTGGACACGTTCTAACAATTGAAAAAAAAAAATTTTCTTTGAAAAAAAAGTACCAGTGAAATGCTGACGAATTCCCAGGACATGAAATACCGAAGTGACATTACCTGATGTCGTAATGGAAGGTGATTCCGCTCCCAAACAATAGTCATTTTTTTTTTATCCGAAAGGTTTTTTTTTCTTTGATTTTATTTATGTTTTTATGTAGGCCATGGGGTCGAGTAAATATATGTCATAATAATAACAAATACAGTGGTTAATGTGTAAATGTATTTGCAATGATTTCCAAGATCGATCTTGGAGTAATTTTCCCACTCCATTTATTAAAGAATAGATAGTCATAATCAAATGCAGAGAACGGAGTAAACTATGGCTAATGAATTGGAATTGGGAAAAAACTCGTTTGATATTCGTCTTTTTTAAAATAATCGCCCTTCCCTCATGAACGGATTAATGACGAATGTTAGGGTTCCACTGTCTGTGTGTGTGTGTGTGTGTGTGTGTGTGTGTGTGTGCACGCGCGCACGCGTGCGTGCGTGTCATAAAGTGCACAGAATAGAGGAATAAACTGGAAACTCTGATGATTAAATGACAATAGGATAATGTAATATAATAACAGTAATGGGTAGAGCTCTGGTGGAAAGAGATTTCATATCCAGTGTTATATATTTTTATCCAGTATGTATATCCAATATCCAGTAGCTGTAGTGGTGGTCGAACTGCCAGCATAATTTCTCAAAGTAGATCCCAACACAACTGCTAGCATTCTAGAACCATTGTTCAAGGATATATGGGAAAGAGAAGTGTTGCCTGATGACTGGACTGAATGAACAATAGTCCAAATCCCCCAAAAAGGAGACTTAGACTGCAATAATTGGAGGGGAATTACTCTACTCTCTGTACCAAGCAAAATATTTTGTAAAATCATTATAATGAGGCTTGAAAAAGGAGTACATAAATTCCTACGAGTGGAACAAGCAGGATTAAGAAAGAGCAGAGGAACAACAGAGCACATCTTCGCCATACGTAACATTTCAGAACAATGCAATGAATGGCAGAGAAGTATATATATTAATTTTGTGGACTTTGAGAAAGCTTTTGACAGCGTCCATAGAGACGGTCTATGGAAAATGTTACGATATTATGGAATTCATTATTCTCCATTTCTTCTTTATGGACACCAGAATGGGAACCAAGAAACTAGGGAATTATAAAATTTCAGTACAATCTAAAAACTAAACTACTTCAAGTCCAACACAAGAAACTTAGACAGATGACAACTAAGATGGAAAGTTGGCCACGTTATGAGAAAATGATCCTGCGCCACACAAAATTCTCCCATGCGACACCAGAGGGAAAGAGAAAACAAAGGACGTCAAAAACTACACGGAGACGACAAACGATGGAAAAGTGACCTGAGTGCGGCATATCTGACATGGAAAAACATGCACTGAAGATTTGCACAGGACAAGGAAGCATGGAAAGTCCCCTCTGAAGCCTCATGTGCCACTAGGCATAACGTAGTGGTGGTGGTGGTAGTAGTAGTGGTCGTGGTAGCAGTGGTAGAGTTATTGGTATGAGTAGAAGTGGTGATGGTGGTAGTAGTAGTAGTAGTAGTAGTAGTAGTAGCAGCAGCAGCAGCAGTAGTAGTAGTAGTAGTAGTAGTAGTAGTAGTAGTAGTAGTAGTAGTAGTAGTGGTAGTAGTAGTAGTAGTAGTAGTAGTAGTAGTAGTAGTAGTAGTAGTAGTAGTAGTAGTAGTAGTAGTAGTAGTAGAAGAAGAAGAAGAAGAAGAAGAAGAAGAAGAAGATACAAAATGTAACAAAATGTATTTAAAAACAAATCAGCAGATAAAAAAAGAACAAAGCCTCGACAAGCAAGCCATATACAAGTCAAAACAACCAACCATGCGACATTCAGTAGCTATGTGGGTTATGTTTAACGTCACATTAAGCTGTCTTTTTCTGCCGGTCCGTTGTTCGGAGAAATCTGTCTAGGGCTGGATTTATCATTCCCTGTTTTACCGCGCGCCTGCAGAAAACACATAAGCAAACTTAACGGATGAATCTGTCGTTCAAGCTACAATGCGAGAACAATCGGACTTTTCTGGTATTCAAAGGAATACTTTACGATGCGGATTTAGGAGAGAAAATAAAATCAGAATCAAACAAATAGATATCACCAAATAGTATCTGGTAAAGACGCCGGGGGTGGGAGGAGGGGGCTGCGTTGTCTCGAGTCATGGTGTCCGCCTCGAGTGCTAGAGGTTCCGGGTTCAATCCCGGGTAAGAACTGGGATTTTTTACGTGGACTTGGACTTCCAGTAGTTACCCCTGGTCTCTGGGTAGTGAGATCGGACGCCCGTGTGCATTGTTGCGCGCGTAAAAAAATCCCATGGCAGTTGGAAATCGAAAAGATTAGCCTAACGGCGCCGCCCGGGCAAAATTTGGAGTTAGAAATCTACCCAAAGTATTTCAGGATCCTTGCCGGTGCTACAGAGCTTGTGCACTGTGCTTCTTCGGACTCAGACTTGAGTTAGAAGAAAAATGGAGCACTTTTGGGTGCCATGATGTTGATCCGTTGTTCAAAACCTGAAAATCCGGTAAAGACTCCGGAACATGCCGGTACTGGCTTTGAAGGCGTGCAAAAAGGTTCTTCACTTCTTCTTCTTCTTCTTCTTCTTCTTCTTCTTCTTCTTCTTCTTCTTCTTCTTCTTCTTCTTCTTCTTCTTCTTCTTCTTCTTCTTCTTCTTCTTCTTCTTCTTCTTCTTCTTCTTCTTCTTCTTCTTCTTTCTTCTTAAGTTCCATACCGTATGACGTTGGTGGTCATGTCTATCCACAAACTTCGGTCTCGTGTTCTTTCAGTCAACTCTGATATAAATGATTTTCCATGACGAGATGTCAAAATGTCCATCATCTTTTCTCTGGGTCTCTCTCTGCCTCTCGTCCCCTCCAGCGTTCCTACTGCCACGATGTACTCCAGTTTTCTCTTTCTCATCACATGACCGAAGAAGAATGTAGATTTGTTCTTTCTGATGACGGCAATCAATTATCTTCGTGAGTCAGTTTCATCACCTTTTCTGGAAATCTGTCCAGGGTATTCTCATCATTCATTTACAAAAACCACATCTCCGCAGCTTCAAAATAATTTTCAACTAATCTACCCACCGTCTTTAAGTATACCAAGATAGGAGGTATATAACTTTTATGAATTCTCTTTCTCTTTATTAGGCCAGATTTTGTGAGAACGAAAAATTATTAAGGGGGGAGTACTAGCAGGTAATCAGTGGCGTTAGAAAAAAAAATCATTCAAAATTCAATTTTGAAGATAGGACTCTCAGATTTTTAGACATTATGACTATATGATCAGGCTATCATATAAAACAAACTTCTTTAGAATGTATTATATACATGAGAGATAAACAATTTTTAAAGTGAAAAATTAATTTTAAAATATGCAAAATTTAGATGTTACTTTGGAAGTATTTGTATGGAAATGGTAAAGCAAATTCTTTACATACTTTTTAGGACGTAATTTTTTGTTATTTGAAGCCCTACTCTGGCTTGTGCCAGGGGCCGCAATATAGGCAGGCCATCAATATGGCCAATTGTCTGAACGCGGTTTCTGGGACCTTTCCACGGTGATCCTAATCCACATGGTGGCACTTTGTGTCATCGGGTGTTTATCGCTTGTGTGATATCCTGGTGGGGTAGAAAGTCAGAAATTCGTTCACAATTAAACGGCACATACAAAAATGGTGTGAGTGTAGCCCTTTCTATGGAAAATAGCACATATTAAATAGATTTTATGTAAAGCTACCTTAAATTTGCTCCTTTTTGTGAGTGGAAAATTAAATTTTGAAATTACATAAAAATTAACACAATCATGATACTAGAATTTTCCTAGAATACGCTACAGCCAGTTATAATGTGAGCAAGCATATACAATTTCATGCAGATTGGTTAATACTGGAGAAAGTTACAGCAGGATAAGTGAAAAAAAAAAATTTAACATTTTACAACAAACGACGTTAATTTTTTTTAGTGAAAATATTCTAGATTTTTACATCAGTGACTCCCTGTCAAATAAGGAAAACCTTCGTATTGAGCTTGTACCTCCTCTAATCCAAGTCGCTTCCTCCTTCTTGCTCTTCTCGCTTCCAGTGATGCTTCTGTTGCTTTCTTCTGAGAGTTTTTCAGCCGTAACGTGTCAGTAGAGATGAAACATTCTGACGTGAAACGTCCACACAATAGTTGCATTGCCACAAGAGGTGCTTCTAGGGCTTTTGCTCCATAATTAAAAATGAGTACTGCAATGCCAACTGCAATCTTGACGGCTTCTAATCCGTGGTACTTGTGTTTGGGGCAATGTCGCCAAATTGATTGATTCGTTAGCGTTCGGGGTGTAGCTATCTAGACATTTTCTCAACCGGTCAGGGTTCGAGAGATCACTGAAAACTGGCTTGATGACCTCCATAACTGCTGCAGGCAGGGATTTTTTAATATTTATAACCCTTTTCTGTGTTGGTAGCAACAGCTATTTAATATGGGCACCAACTAATTTTGCAGAGATTGTGAACAGGATTTTGATCCTTGGAGAGTTTGTGAAAAAATATCGCCCTAACAGCCTCTAGCATTCAACCAGTGCATCAGGACAGTTTCAGGAAAGACAAGACGGACTTGCAATCAGACAGTTTCAGGTACAATCGGAGCTAGAACTATTCGCTGGCTGCTAAAGAGGGTGATGGGGCATTTATGGAAATGTTCCTAGTGCTATGATGTCTATTCTTAAAGCTCAACTCAATAGAGATCTCCGTAAGAAATGCACCAGTGAACTTAGCGGCGCAATGTAAGTAAAGAACACCAAGCGATAAACATCCGGTGACACAAAGTGCTATCATTCGGATGAGGATCACCCGGGGACAGATCCTAGAAACCCTGTTCAACACATAGATTGGGACCGATATTAGGGCTCCTGGCAACAGCCGGAGGGGGTCTTTGAAATAACGAAAAATTGCGTCCCATACTGGGACGGTAAACTAAAAAGTTCAGAGTGAGTGATTATCTATTATCTTTGAGTTACGGAACTTTTTTTACTCACATCTTTTCAATATTTGTTTCCTGTGGCCACACATATGTTAGATATTCTACTTGCTAGAGAGATATATGGTTTCTATTGGAGTTAGTCAATTAAGTGATTTTTGTGTATTCTGGTTGGTATTTTTGGTTATTTAGACTTAATATATTGTGCCGATGAAGACTTTCTAGCCGGAACGTTCACTTTTCGTCTGTGTTTGTGATATAATGAAGCTGGCTGGTTCAACTTTTGTTCAGTTTCATATGTTTTCTCAAACTTGATTAGACCTAAGTACTTGTTACTTCTAAACTTCTTGGAGTATACAGAACCAAAGTTAAAAATTAAAAAGACCGAAAGGCATACAGATACTCGAGACAGGAAAATTAACAAAGGGCTGATATCTTTACCGTCTTTCTGTGGACGGCTATTTTGTACAAAGGACCTAGTATACGATGATGATAGGGCTGATGATTATATCATTGATATGTCCGTCATTTAGCATGCATAAGCCATGCATATAACACAAGGAAAATGAATAGCAAGTCTCACAAAACATAAAAAAATTTACAGCTTATATATATATATATATATATATATATATATATATATATATATATATATATATATATATATACTCACATTATAATTATAATTACGCGAAAGTGCCAGAGTGGTGTTCCACCTATCTTACAACTTACCAGTTTGGACGCTCGTATCATCGCATTGGCAAAATATTCCCCCAAACACACAACGGCTGCAATGATGATCCCGCCAACCAGAATGAAGAACACTCCAGCAACATTCTCAATCTGGAGGGACGATGTCTCATCAGTGGACGCCTTCGTGAGATCTGGGCAGTTACGGTTGTCCCACCACCTGGTTGTTGCAGGAAAGGGAACTTCAGCATAATTGTCGTGGAATGATAAGCCATTACACATCACCCCTAAAGAGTAGGGACCTGTACTACCTGTGCTCGACACAACATTCAAACTTGGACTCGTCCGGAAAGGTATATAGTCCCTTATATCGATATATGCCTTTATCGGACATAATGATAGTGTCTACATCTTCTAGTTGCTTTGACTTAGCGTCATTTTCAAATTTGCAACTATTTGATAAATATTACTGGAGTTATTTGAGTTTTTTTTTTTGGAACCGGTTTACTCCTTGCTCATGTATACAAGGAACTTCTTCTTACCGACGCCTGAATTGAAAATTTTGCGCCATTGTTTCTGCCGGCCTTCCTAGCGTTCAGATGTATGCATCGACGCCAGAAAATTTCACTTTCAGAAGGCGATCTGTAATGTCGAGGACTTTTCCTATGCTTTGGTAAGTTAATTATAGTTTACGAGTACCTTAAATGATGTCTGTTAAAGTGGTCACTGCTGTAGAGAGATCAGTATTGGCTATGGGATCACACATAGTTCGACCGTTCTTGATCGCTAGAGAAGCGGATTCGAACTTAGACCTTCTTCTGTACAGACTAAATAGCCTATGCCCTAAATAACCCACCCATACTGGTAAACATAATGACCTTACAAGTGTGAACCATTTAAACTAACAACAGAAGTTTGTGCATACAAATGGGGACAGAGAATTAGGTTAGTACTTGGCAGCCAGAGTTGCGTGAGATGTTTGACCCAGATCAATGGATGTGTGGAAATGACTTGTTAGTCGTAGGGAATAGGGGTACTGACGGTAAATAGTGGTGTCTGTGTGCAGATGGGAGGGGGGAGAGATTGATATGTGTGAGAGTGTCTATCTATCTCCACTATATGTCTGACTTTCCATTTCTTGCACTAAACAGACAGATGAATGATAGGAGACATTGTCTCCTGGTCTTGAAAGTGCACTCTGAGGGATGAAACAGGGGAGCAGAGGTGGAGTAGACTGATATGGGCTGGTGACTGATACTTATTCTGTCTTTCCTGTCAAGATGTTACCCTCTTGGTGATGACTAATTCTGAGTTCTTTCTTGGCAGGATGAAACCTATGTGAAGAGCTGGCAGAAAAATCACAGTCCAACCAACACCCACCAACCATCAATCAACCAATTGTCAACCAATTGCCAACCAACCTATCACCCAAGTTCAGACATCAACACCATGGGGTGCCATATACCCCAAACATCCTACAGTGCCAGAGCATGTGTGTAGCTCAGGGACAGTGTGTGACCTGACTGGTAGAAGAGATTTGCTGAGTGCCTATCCAGTTGCTGTGTCCTCTATGGTGAGGTACTCCTCCACCATCTGATCCAGTTGAAACAGAATTACCTAAGACAGTCGAATCATCAGGAGCTGAGGGAAGCATCAACGATAGAAAGAGGATAAGTGCTAGTTTACCTCTATAACATGCTCTATTCCCCACAGCTCCGCTGTGGTCCTATGATGAAAAGGTGCTACCTCCAGGACTTTCTGACTGTTCAGTTGTAGGGGTAATCTGGTCATTGTATTCTGGAACCCATCTATTGAGATCTGGCATCTACTTCACTATTATATATATGTATATGTTGTATTGATTACATGCATTCATTTTCATGGCTGACTTAGGTGTCTCTATTTCACCTTTCTAAGTGTTTAGCATTGGTGTGTGTATGAGTCATAAATATTATATGTGTTAACATGGTTATGATAATGAACTATCATAACCTGGGGGCTTTCTTTAGTAAGTAGTGGGGGTGTCCAGCCAAGTGTGCCTAGGAATATTGTATTCATATACAGATATATTTTGTAGTGCCAATACTTGAGTTGCCCTATTCCAGAAATAAGTTGAGCGTATATTGGCCACGGGAAATCCCTTAGACCAATACGAGCCAAACGACTCAACATAATTATTTCTGAGTGCTGTTGGTTCTGAAGGAGAAATCCTTATATCAGGCACGTGACAGGAGTGATATGTGACAATAATTTACATCTATCAATAATATGTTAGATTGTAACAGGACTTTGTTATTCGGCAGTACCGGAAACTTTTATTTAGCCCCTCCCGATTTTCAAATGGGACTGGATAGGAAATGATATCCAACAATAACCAAAGATTGGATTAAAAAATTATTATATCTAATAACAATTGGAGCAGATTAACAATAATATCTAGGATACCATAGTCAGAGGCTCAGTAAGAAATAAAGATATGTCCTAATATGGAACCTGAAGAGAAATGATATATAGTAAATAATAGCGACTGTAAAAGAAATGAAGATATTAGGCCACTGTTTAAAAAAAAAAAAACAATATTAGTCTAGTACCTACAATTTGTGTATTATTGGGCACTTCCTCTAAAGAGCCGTAAGTGGACACAACATCATAAATCACTGTACTTCATGGTGAACTAAAGAATCTTCTATTGGACAAATCATCATAACCCAATATACTTCATAGTGAACTAAAGAATCTTCTAGTGGACAAATCATCATAACCCAATATACTTCATGGTGTACTAAAGAATCTTCTATTGGACAAATCATCATAACCCAATATACTTCATGGTGTACTAAGGGATCTTCTAGTGGACAAATCATCATAAATCACTGTACTTCATGGTGAACTAAAGAATCTTCTAGTGGACAAATCATCATAACCCAATATACTTCATGGTGTACTAAAGAATCTTCTATTGGACAAATCATCATAACCCAATGTACTTCATGGTGAACTAAAGACTCTTCTAGTGGACAAATCATCATAACCCAATATACTTCATGGTGAACTAAAGAATCTTCTAGTGGACAAATCATCATAACCCAATATACTTCATGGTGAACTAAAGAATCTTCTAGTGGACAAATCATCATAACCCAATATACTTCATGGTGAACTAAAGAATCTTCTAGTGGACAAATCATCATAACCCAATATACTTCATGGTGAACTAAAGAATCTTCTAGTGGACAAATCATCATAAATCACTGTATTTCATGGTGAACTAAAGAATCTTCTAGTGGACAAATCATCATAACCCAATATACTTCATGGTGAACTAAAGAATCTTCTAGTGGACAAATCATCATAACCCAATATACTTTATGGTGAACTAAAGAATCTTCTAGTGGACACAACATCATAACCCAATATACTTCATGTTGTACTAAAGGATCTTCTATTGGACAAATCATCATAACCCAATATACTTCATGTTGTAAAAAGGAACTTCGAATGACAAATCATCATAACGCAATATACTTCATGTTGTAAAAATGATCTTCGAGTGGACAAATCATCATAACCCAATATACTTCATGGTGTACTAAGGGATCTTCTAGTGGACAAATCATTATAACCCAATATACTTCATGTTGTAAAAAGGAACTTCGAATGGCAAATCATCATAACGCAATATACTTCATGTTGTAAAAAGGATCTTCGAGTGGACAAGTCATCATAACCCAATATACTTCATGGTGTACTAACTAAACATGGTGAACAAAGGATCTTCGTCACTGCCGGTCCCAAGCCCTGATGAGAAAGGAGGAAAGCTGGGCTTGGGCCAGCCCCTCAACCTGTAAAAAATAAAATGTTGCTATATAAATTTGTAGGAAAAAAAGCCATTTAGGTAAACTTAAAAGAAATGTGCTGGACAACCTCTGGTAACAGATATAAAACAAAGAAGATGGCGCTTGACTGAATGCACCCTGAGAAGAAACCAACAAAGAATCACCAACCATGCACTAAAATTAGAAATAAAGGAAGGGATGAAGCGAGAATGTCCAAAAGAGACCCTAAAAAGAACGTCAATGAGATAGACTGTAGGTGCTGGACCCATGATTTCGAAGGTAATACACAGGATGTAAGGGAATGAAGAAACAGACTGCAAGCCTATGCGACATAAAATAGCACAACAGTAAAATACATAAATGTAAAAAAAAAGGGTCATTTTCCTTTCTCATCACAAACACATTTTTCAACCCGATACACTAACCTGGTTTCTAACTCGTGGAGAATTCCCCGATCACTCAGTTTGAGAATTGCCATAGACAGTTCCTCTCTGTAGGTAGCACCCGGAGGCACCCCTATTCCGAACCCTTTGGGATCAAAAGCTGGTCCGATTTCCATGACGTCACAATCCACAATCGTCTGATACTTGTTGACTGTTGTGTCCCAGAAAAAGGCGTAATCTCCTTCCTTGACCTTAAAGTAATGAAGTTACACCACAAAAGTAAGCCAATGTACGCAAATAACATAACATAACCCTTGACTCTTCAGGGTCGTCGAAGTCTATCGATGGTAGTACTAGTACACACAAAACCCGCCATCATTCTCTATCTTCCGCTTGTTAAACAAGTGTATAATAATGTAGTCCTGCCCATTTTTTAATGTTTCTTTGGGCTCCTCCGCCTCTTTTTTCCCGTTGATTGCCATCCCTCCTCCTCCCAACCCCTTATCCACCCCAGTGTTCACAAGAGTTTAGACTTTGCAATGGAATCATGTCTGACCACCTGCCTGAACCAAACTAGCTTGGATGTATTACCACTGCCAAAAGAGGCTCCTGATTGTCTGCAAATTTGTTTATTTTGCCTCCTTTATGTTTATTAGTTATAATTTCTAATTACCTTATCCGTAAAATTCGTCTATAACATTCATTATCTATAGGCTGACCATCCTCTCCATTTCCGCAATGAGAACCCAACTCTCACATCCGTAAAATAATTTATACAGTACCAGTGTTTTGTGTAGACCAAGATGAAAATGTTTTGTAGGCACGATTTTTGACACTCAACAAACAAATTAAAAGGTTCGCCCACTTAGAAAGAAAATCCTCTCATGCCATATCACACAAAGCATTTACGATGTGGAAGATGGACTCAGAGTTCTAATAAGTAGGCCACGGACAAGTTAATGCTAAGGAGAAACGTCAACATATACAATCTGTCTATTGCCGAGGTTGATAAAAGACCACAAACCAGAACATCGTATCTCCTTTGATGTGGGAAGTGGTACAAGAGGAGACGAAAAAGAGGGGGAAGGTCGTGGAATCTAGAAAAGAAGGAGGAGGAGGAGGAGGATAAGAAGTAAAAGAAGTAAAGAAAAAGAAGAATAAGGATGAAGATAAAGAGCGAGCAGGAGGTGAAGAAGGCTCACCAAGTGCTGAGTGATCTAAAGATATGCGGCTTGCTCCAAATAGCTACATCTCCTCAAGATATGAAAATGGACCTAAGTTTTTGACTAAAACAACCCACAGGGGCATAGCAATAAAAACAAAACATGGAGAAGAGAGCTGCAGAATAAAGTTAGAAAGATAGGAAGGACATGGGGAGAGCTCCATGTAATAGCGAAGGATAGAACGACATGGCGTGAGTTGGTTGAGGGCCTTTGCTCCATTGGGGGATTGAAAGGCAGAAGAAGAAGAAGAAGATAAGGTTAAACTCGTATTAATATAGCAAATTGTTTTAATTAACAGCATAAAGTTACAAGACAGTAAAATTCGTATTAAAATGGATAGTTGTTTTTACTAGCAGCATAAAGTTACAAGACAATTAAAATCGTACTAAACTGGATAATTGTTTTTACTAGCAGCATAATGTTACAAGCCAATTAACTTGTATTAAAATAGACAGTTGTTTTGACCAACGGCATGAAGTTACTTACAAAACAATTAAACTCGTGTTGAAATGGTTAACTGTTTTAACAACCTGCATGAAGTTATTTACAAAACAATTTAACTCGTGTTAAAATGGCTTATTGTTTTAACCAAAGCATGAAGTTACTTAAACGACAATTTAACTCGTATATAAAAGTAGATATTAGGAAGTCACTAAACTATTTATAACAACAGCATAAACTCACAAAACAAAACAATACTTATAACAATAAAAATTCACTTGACAATAATTGTTGACAATAAGAAGCCAAAGACACATTATTATTATTATTATTATTATTATTATTTTTTTAGTATCCAGAAACCATGAGTTGTTAACCCTTAGGCTCGGTATTATGGATATCGCAACCCTCCGGCTTTGATTCCATGATAAATACCGTAAATCTGGGAGAGATGTAGCTTTTCTGCCAACCCCCAGGCGTGAACCCGGACCACAAGGAGTTCGTCACTCGGTTTAGCCAACTATGCTAGCGAGCCGGGCAAGACACATTAATAAACTGAGTCCTATCAACAACACGAGGCCACACAAAGCTCAACTACTGCCATCAATAGCAAGAAGTGATCACATAAAACACGACTGATATCATCAGCATTATTCATTACTCATTAGGCGATCATCTTCCTTGCCCATCCGCGATAATCTCTGATGAGCCAATCGGCGCTCACTGAGTTCTGTGGTTAGCTTTAGAAGGCCACCATTGCTTTTCCTGACATTTTCTGTTATACTTTTTAGGCTGGAACGGCCCATGACATTGAGGATGAATGTTTCGTAAATGTTTTTAATGGTAGACAGGGGCGCTGAAACAAAGATAATCACTGGGGGAGGCTGGTCTTCTGCTTCCTAATAACTTTCTTCTATTTGGCTTAATTGCCCTCAAGGATCTTAAGCCATGTTTGAGCGTGCAATAATATAATAATTATAATACCATATTTTAAATAATATGAAATATAAATATTTAACAAATGCTTAGAAAGAGAGCGTCCGTACATAGTTGGTGGTGGGGGGGGGGGAAGACCACATGGTTAGAGGGCTCCGCCTCTCCTCCTACTAAAAAAAATGTAGGACCCTCTAAGTGCCTGAGCACTAAGATTCCGGAGCCCCTGACGTCATCACAATACGCCCACAACGTCCTTTAGAAGCGGAAGAGGATGCTTTCCCAAAATATGCAAACTCAGTAACCGTTCATTGTATTTTGTTGAAATTTTGCATACGGACTATTTATAATTTTGCCCATATACAAATCTTTCAAAAATTTTTTAGTTAATCGTCTAGCTCCTTAAACTCCCACCCTCCCCCCTTTTTTTTGCGGTACATGAAGAATCAGTCAACGATTCAAAACACACAGTCGGTATGCTTAAAACCTGTAGCAATGGGAATTTGTCAAAGCATCAAACTGCACGCGTTTCATAGGCGCTTCACGCTCAAATTATTTTTCAAAGATTACATAAATTCGCCACTTTAGGAAAACAGCAGCACCTGTGCAGTTATAATTGTAAAATCATATGGATGTGGGAAATCAGTGGCCACATGACAAATTTTGTGTTGATCAGTACAGTAGTTTTGGAGTTATTCACAAAAGTGCAAGGGCACAAGTTTTTAAACGCACTTTAGGAAAACGCGGCGTCCGTGGCTTAGACGTTGCGAGTCCGACTCGTAATTCCAGCGTACCGCGATCGAAACCCACTGCTGGCTGCGTGGATTTTTATCATAGTACGGGGTGTCGCAAGTCGACGCAGCCTAAATGGGTACCATGATGGCTGGCCTGGGGAAGTAAAGACGGCCGACGTAATGCTGACCACATAGTGCCGATGGTCTGTAAAAATATGAGAGCTCTTCCCACAGACTCGATACGACTAAAAAGCGTGAAAATGGATCTTTACTTTACTTACTTTTACTTTACTATAGAACTACGGCTGTCCTTGTACACTAACTTACTTTCTTATATCCTTCTGTGGTATTGTCCACCATGGAGTCCGGGTCTATCTCGGACATCTGGGACCACATCTTGGCGAAGTGTTCTATGTTTGTGTTCTTGAAGAACGACATGATGCCGCTGTCTTTCACGGTTCCATACTTGATCTTCGTTTGCTGGGCCAGATCTGTGACAGACTGAAATTTAGCAACAAGAGAGTCATAACATTGAAGACGACAACTATAAAACGCTTTCAATTTATTATGTACTTGAAATGTTTCTTAATATAACATAGGCGTCTCCGCGGTTAAGTAGTCAAAACATTTGCCTCGCGTTCTGAAAGTCGTCGGTTCGTTTCGCCGCTAGCATCATTCGGTTCACAAGTGCAATTTTCACAGACCCTTGAAATGGTCGCTGGGGCTATAGTGTTCGTGATATTCGCGACGCAGAGGCTATGGTGGATGCAAACGTAGTCTGTATAAAGGATGGTAGGCCAACTAGATCGGCAACGAGTCCTGGTGATGCAGACACGGCTATTGATTTGGCGTTAGTTACACAGTCAACAGTGCTGGACACAAAATGGAGTGTCCTATGCGATCATGGGGGTGACCATATATATACCATGCTCAGTCTTGATTTCTAAAGCTAGCAAGGTCAGGGCTGTGAAAACGCGCAAAACTTTTAAAAATGAGAGGACCAGTACCTTTCTTGGTCGCCTTCTACAGAAGGTATGCAGCAGAACTACCACCTCTGCTTTTGTGCAGCCTCCATGGTGGACCCAAGAAATAGAACAGGCATGGAGAGCAAAGCGAGCAGCAGTTAAACATTTATAGAAAGTGCGAAAGGCACCTCGCAGGTTACAAGAAGATGTAGAGAAACTAGAAAGAGTTAGAAAATAAAAAGTAGAAGAGTTCAAGCTTTGTGCAACAGATGCACACAAAAAAGGCTAAATGGGAACAATTAATGAGCGAAATTGGAGGTGATAAATCAAGAGGTAGGTCTTGGAAACCGCACAGACAGATGCAAAGGAAGCATCGGCCTATCACAACAGGACTTATATACACTGATAATGGTATGCTAATGACCAAAAAAAAAAAAAAAAAAAAAAAAAAAAAAAAAGAGAAAGGGGAAGCATTTTTAAAGAAATTTATAGCCCAAACCGATCATAGTGATAGGGAGCTTAGATATTCAGTTAGATATAATCTATCTAAAACATTAATGATAATTATTTTCAGACATCATTAGGGTGGAGGATATAAAATATGTATTGCAAAAAGCACAACACACTGTACCGGAGCCAGACGGAGTCAGATATGCCCACATGAAGAGCATGAGTGATGAAGACTTGAGGGAGATGGCATTTCACTTTAACCAGAGAGTCAGAACAGCATCAGTACCCCAGGATAGGGTACACATATACCTGATCCCCCTTCTGAAACCAGGCAAAGATCATACCAGACTTAGCGGTTTCATGATTATCACCCTACAAATACTTTTGGCAAAGTGCTAGAGAAGATTATTGCTGTTAAACTACAGATGCTTTCTGGAAAGGAAGAGCTGCTGCCAAAAGGTTTGGGTAGTTACCGGCCACGAAAAGATACATGGTCTAATGCAGCTACTTTTGCTTTTGATGTTTATAAAGGGCGCCAGAACATACAGGAGACAGTTGTGGCATCCCTTGATCTCGAGGATGGATGCCTACAATAGAGTCAGATGTGATGTTTTGATATCTGCACTCATGGAGAAGGGGGTTTGGCCCTGGCTTGTGAACTGGATAGCAGCTGTCCTGCATTCACATATGGCGGTCCTTCGCTTGGGGAAATGAACCTCAGAACCATGTAATATAGCTCCAGGACTACCCCAGGGTTCTGCAATGTCACCGGTGCTCTTGAATGTGAATACAAGCAAGACTGCAAAACTTGAAGCACCAGGTGTTGGAAGAATATTGACATTTGCTGATGATGTTCTTGCATATAGGCAAGGGAATGATAGACAACGGATACCCCAAGAGCTGCAGGCAACTGAAGACAAAGTGACTGACTGGTGGTTAGAAATGGGTGCTGTCATCAACTTAGAAAAGGCAGCTGTTTTGTGGTGCTCTTTGGACAACAGAGTTGTGACAGTTGATGTTCCAAGCCTCACAGTTAATAACAGTACCACCAAAAGAGAAAACAAACTGAGGAACCTGTGCATCACTTTCGATAGAAGCCTGTCCTATAGGGATCACGTGGAGGCAGTTGTGAAATGCCAAAAAGAACTCAATGCTCTCAAGATTATGGCAGCAATGGGCATGGAACAAAGAATGATGTTAACAATGTTCCAGCATGTGATCCTAGCGGTGATAGATTATGGGCTTGGGATGCTCACCATATAACAGAGTCAGCTGATAAAACTCGAACGCATACAGTATGTATGCCGGCAAAGTTATATCTCAGAGTAGCTGCAGACTAGAAGCACCTCCTGCATGAAGCCCTGGGTAGAACTAGGGGTCACAGACTGAAAAGATGAAAGTCTTGGATGGAGCAAGCTGACGACACAATCAGACATGATAATTTTAAGCCAGGAGAGGAGTGGGTCAAGGTGTCGGAACAAATTTCAGACTTATATAGGGTTCTAATCACCTTAGGTCATGAGTGCGTGAGACTGGCCAGCTGGTGCTGCAGAATCAGAAGTTCAACAAATGATTCGTGACAATTCCCGCCCAAGTTATGTGATTATCTATACAGATGGCTCTGTGCTGAGGGGCAGACAAAGTGCCTGTGGTTTCATAGCAAAGGTGAATGGACGACGACTAGTGCAGCAAAACCTGGTATATGATATCACAACTTCCAGATTGAGAATGGAGGTGGAGGCAGTCTCTGCTGCCTTTCGCTGGCTTGAGAATCAGCTGTAAAAACATGCCGTTGAGAAAGGTGAAAACATGCACCTTCTGCAGAGTGACAAGCATCACTTCAGAGGTTCTGGGTAGTTAGCATCCTTTGGATTTTTTCTCCAGGTATGTTGGAAAATGCGCTGGCAGATAGACTGGCTTGCTCTGCACCACTTGGTGGTGAATTGATGTATGATAAGTTAGATATTGCGAGGGCCCTTTGGGAACGGGTGAACAGTGCAGAGGCGCAGATAGATCAATACGGTCTAAGGAGAATGGCGCTGCGAGGAGTTACCAGGAGATCTGGCCGTCGCTCAACACTCAGGGGAAAGATGAGACGGATATACAATCAGACGGTTACTGGTGCCATCGGAACTGGAACTCTTCGTTTGTTCCTAAAGGTGGGGACAGAGCACTTATGGGAGTGTCCCGAGTGCTGTGATGTCGAATCTTAATTTAAAGTTCAATATTCAACATTCCAAGCGCGAACAGGAAGTGAGACTGGGTCATACATTGTCAATTGTGTATCGGATGACAAAAAAGGTGCGGAATATGTTCGCAACTGTTGCGTCTAGCATCATACGCCGCTAGCGTGAAAAGGCACTTTTACTCTTCCCCCCCCCTCCCCCCCCTCGCCCCCGCCCCCTCTGTCTTATTACATATTTACTCTACCTTAATGGGCGTGTTGATCTTTTTCACAGTGAGGAAAGCGGCCAGGTTGGCTGTGTACGATGAGATCAGAATGAGAGCAAAAAACCACCAGGCACTTGTGAGAATACGGCCCGGGATTGTTGATGGCGTGGAGTCAGTGTTTCCTATTTGAGATCAATATGACACAGTTTGCACGTCACATTTAGTCAATGAAAATTAAAAGTTAAAAGAAAATGTAAATAAAGGTTAAGGACCATTTCTCACGCCTTCAAACGTACTGGGTATACAAGGCTAGACCAATATTGTATAGACCAATTGGCACTCGGTGGGTGATGTGACCACCATCTAGCCGACTGCCTTTACTTCCCAGGACTTTACCTGGAACCCATTTAAGGCTGGATCGACTTGGGAGCCAAGTCATTTTTGAAAAAAAAAAAATTCGTTTCGTCTTCGTCAGAGTCAAGCAGTTACACCACAGCAATCGAAAATTATACTCAGTACTTTCGAAAATGTCGCATCTGCGGCTACGTCGATGCGAACGCTTGGTAAAGCCGGGATGCCGGGTTCAATCCCAGCTGCGGGCCATGCGCCTTGCATTGGTTTCGACCGTGGTACAAAGCCGACCGTCCAGGGCTGTTGGGGTTGGTTCTGCAACGTCCTGTAAAGCATACGCAACTAACCTTAACTTTCCAAAAAGGGAGCCTCAGTAACATCAGAGCTAGAATCGGATTCGAGTCCTATTTGTATGCATCTTGTTCTCTAGCCACCGGAGAGCTGCAGTTACCACCTCCACCTCCATTCCCATGCTAGATGTTGTTATGTCATATGCTAGGCTGTCTTGCACTAAAGATTTTCCATTGGCTTTCGCTACGAGCACCCAGGCACTTCTCTTTCCTCACAACACCGAACCATCTGTAAAGATAATCAGATCACCTGGGCGTGAGCTGTCGTGAATCAACTGTTGGACTTCCACCTCCGTAGCACCCGCTGGCCACTCTCAGCACACTTTTGAATAACTGACTGTAAATTCCAGGTTGACCCAGTTTCAAGTGGGCCCCAGATGATGTCCAGGGAGGCAAATACGACGCTATAAGATGTCGATCTCATAACCCATCACCTTGCTACGGAGTTAAAGTCAACACATAATGAAATACAAATCTGGAATATTTTCAAACTGAAATTCATAAATCAGATTGTCTCTCGTTACTGTATACATCCCCCCACAGGGAGACTTAGACCAACAACTTGATTAGAATTGATTTCTAAGATTGCCCTCGTAATCCTTTTGTTTACATGGCGCTGGACTGCCGTGTCTTGCATGGTTCAACCTATAATTTTCAGTCAGTTGTTCAAACATACGGGCCGGGTGAGCAGAGAGTGGCCAGCGGGTGCTATGGAGGTGGAAGTCCAACAGTTGATTCCCGACAACTCACGCCCAGGAGATGCACCCGACGAGGTGCAGCAAAAGAGCCAACGCAATCAGTGCAGGATTTTGGCATAAGCCAATTAAGCTGTTAAGGCATCGCAAGCTTCAGTGGCCTATAAAAAATGTGTTTTTCCCCAATCATTCAATAAAAATTAAAAAAACTTTTCTTAAATGCAGTTTTCTGTGAATATACGTGAAAAAAGTGTCTGCACTTAGCAGCATTGCATAGAATGCGCATTTTACTTAGCATATCTATGGATGACATCATCAGTGATTTTTGCAAATGGTGAAATGTTCTGAGGCTTTTAGACATTGTCGGCGAATGTGGCTTAGGCGTTGCGAACGCGCTTCGTAATGCTGGGGTGCCGGGTTCGATCCCAGCTTTGCAATGGTTTCGACAGTGGTATCGAAAAGCCCACCGTCCTGAAGCAATGGCAAACTACTGGACGTAAACTTGCCTAGAAAACCACAACAGCCAAAAAATGCTGGGGTTGGTTCTGCAACGTCCTGTAAAATATACGCAACTAACTTTTTTTTTTTTCAAGCTTTAAACAAAGTTTAGTTGCGTATCCTTTAGGACTCAATAAATTCTGTTGTGTGGTTTCACTAAAAATATTCATTGTCATTTTTATTTTAAAAATAGAGGACTTTATATAATTTCTGTGATTTTCCAATATATTCTTTATCATTAATTTTAATACGAATTAAACAACAGTATAATTCTATTATTGTTGTATTGAAAAGGCGTATATATTTTAAAGTTTTCATAGATTAGCTGGTGTCATTGAAAACGGTAGAGGCCTCAGGACTATGTATCACTCAGGGTCTCATCAAGTCTAAATCCGGACCCGCATGCAATAGATTTTGCCTTACATTGTTTGTGTCTCTTTACCGAAAAATGTGTCTCTGACTCTCATTATAGCTCACTTGCACATAAGTTAGTCAGTTAATTAATCGAAAGATTATCCTCACTGCACATCAGACAAATCCATAAGCGCTCGGATCCCATCTTCAGTATATCATTCAGCATATGGCGACATAACACGAGTTCTTTGTGGGTTTACTATTCTTCTTTGGCTACCTGTAGGGCGTTCATGTTTGACGACACGTCTTTTTATTTGGAGGTTCTTGTAGTCTGTTGAATGTTGCCGATTTAACGTCGTCTCCTGAATCATTTTCTCGTGCTGCTTCTTTGAGAGCATTGAGAATGTCGGCCCGGTCCACTGCTTTTCCTGTACCTACCAGCAAGCCAATCTGATCATTCATCTCCTATTATCCCAGCGTGTCCTGGCACAAAAATAAAACATTCCTTGCAGGCGAGACATAAGCTATGGTATAACGGTCTGGGACAGGCAGTAGTAACAGTTAATGACCTTTTTCCACACATTGGCCGTACTGGGTATATAGCGGCCATCATCATGATCATTATTCAGTTAAACTGCGTGTTGAGTGTCTGGTCAACCCTATCGACCTTTGAAGGTCAGTTGGAATGGACTCCATGGTTGCATGCCTAAGGCATGTTTCTATATCCAGGTCTTTCTTGGTCTGCCTCTTCTCCTCTTCCCCTCTCCCTAGCGCTGAGCTATTGTGTTTTGAGAGGCTGTTAGATAATATTACATGTCAGTACCATTGTATTTTCCGTCTTTTCACTATAAATAAAAGAGGTTTATAGTTGCCATTATGCTAAGTAATTATACGGGAACCTCATTAGTGATATTGGCTCTATGTGAAATGCCACGAATTTTTTTTTTAATGACATGGTGTTTTACCTATATTTTATAGACCAGTTAGCTTTCGGTGGATAACGTGATTGCTATTCTTTCCAGGACAGTACCTGGTACCAATTTAACGGTGGATCCAACCGAAAGCTGAAGTTAACTATTGGAAATAAAAAAAATCCTTACGATAGGGATTTGAGCCTACGACCTTCGGACCTTCAGCCGAGCTTCCAATCGCTACACTACGGTGACACCTAGAGTTAAAAGTACACGTCCGGAATTATTTTAGCTTACCTTGCAGCAGAGACCCAAAGATGAACCAGAATGACTCCCGGACAGTAATTTGAACACTGTCCGAGTTCACGCACTTGTTTCTGCCCATCCTCTCCAGCGCGTACAGGATCACACTGACCACGACAAAGGAGATTAAGGTACAGATCCAGACAACTGGAGATAACGGGTTGAGGAACTCAAAGTATGACGTCTCCTGTCTGGGGATCCTCATCAGCACGGAGATGTAGCGAGTCTTGAACGGCTTGGTGAAGTCCACAGCTTCTTCTCGCTGTGCGTTGATGGACAAAGGAGCTACTGACATGGTGGCATTCTGATGAGACAATAAAAATAAGTCAAATAAAGATCCCTTTCCACGCCTTTTAGGCGCATTGGGCATATCGGAAGAACACGCATAATTTTACAGACCAATCGGCACTAAGGTATAATGTGGTAAGTATTACGCCGGCCGTCTTTACTTCCCCAAGGACAGACATCCTGGTACCCATTTTAGGCTGGATCGACCTGCGAAACCCAATACGACGATAAACCAACGCAGCCAGCAGTGGGTTTTGATCGCGGTTCCTTGGAATTATGAGTCAGACTCGCAACTCCTAAGCCACAGACACCGCGACAGTTAAAATACTAAGTTAAAAAAACTATATTTATTGAGTAGTTAAACTTGCAGATATAATATTTTAAGAATAGAGAAAATCATTACCGTAAAGTTCAGTTGAAAAAACTACAAACATTCTGATATTCTAAGGACAGCTAAAAAATCTTTCTAGCTGTCACATAAAAATGTTCTAATTATTATAATTTTTGTTTTCACGGCGGGAAAAAACACACTCATCTGCATACATATCCACTCTACAACATGTTTGATAAATTCTCCAGACACATATAACTTGAACCTAAATGTCTTCATCCAACAACAGCTAGGGAATATAGCCCAGACATGCACACATGCTTATCGAGAGCCGGCGTGGTGCAGAGGCTAGACACTCGCCTGCGCATCCAAAGGTCGCGGGTTCAGGTACTGTCCGAGCCAGCCTTTATTCAGAAATGATGTTCGCTCCCAGGTCGACCCAGCCTTAAATGGGTACCAGGTAAAATCACGTGAAGTAAAGGCGGTCGAATGGATGTTGACCACATCACCGACCGAGTGCCGACTGGTCTGAAAATATAGGTCTATGCCAAATACATCTGAAGATGTTGAGAAGGATCCTTTTGCTTGCAGTACATATTTATCCGCGACGTCCCTGGCTTGGGCGTTGCGAGTCCGACTCGTAATCCAGCGTGCCGCGATCGAAACCCACTGCTGGCTGCGTGGATTTTTATCATGGTATGAGGCGTTGCGGGTCGACCCAGTCTAAAATGGGTACCAGGATGGCTGTCCTGTGAAAGTATAGACGGCCGGCGTAATGCTGACCACATTACCAATCCAGTGCAGATTGGTCTGTAAAAATATGGGACGCTGTACCCATATACCCGATGCGCCAAAGGCGTGAAAAGGGATCTTTACTTTACTTTACTTACATATTTATCCTCTCTTCAGTTATTTGGATATATATATATACATATCCAAGTAAATGAAGACAATGTGTTCAAATACACTGAAGACATATACCCTGCACACGCTGTTATCTAATTTAAAACATCGTAGATTACCTCAGATCTGATTACCCCAGACACATATCGTACATACATGTATATACCCACTATACTTCAGCTTTGATACATACCCCAGACAAAAGCTCTCCAAGCATTCCATTCCATTCTCCATCTGCCATTTTGCTGCCAAATTTGCCGTCGTGAACAAGGTAAATTTCATAATCAAACTCTAGCATTTTGGCGACTTCTTCAATCAAGTCAACGGCGAAGCCCTCAAATCTGTCATTGCCTTTCCTCAGCATATGATCCCGTTTCTTCATTGTAAACGGTCGTTCCTATAGTAGAAAAACGTTTTTTTTTTTTTTTAACAGAAAACAAACTGGCATAGCACATCAGAAAAGACAGATTTTTATTTAAACTAAACAAAAATAAACATAAATTGTAAAGATTTAATATCAAATACCTTACTCAGGGAAATTATCCCGGTCAACAAATGCTAGATGGAGTGGGATGTGTCGGCCAAAAGGGGCTAAAATAGCAGTTTTCTTGCCAAACTGTCAGAACGAAATTCGAAATTACGTCCCTCAGACAAATGAAAAGAAGAAGAAGTCCCTTAACAGTCTAGCGAAAACAAAAAGATGGAAATGTAGATAGCACTTTATTTATTAAATATAATATCATACAGTTACAATGCTCAACTGATGCGATAGCTGCAATCTAGAGATTATACCATCTGATATACGTGGCTGGAGCGATGTTTCTGACAAAGGAAGCCCTGCAGCAACAACCAATTAATAATATCTCCGTTTGATTAGCTACTGTAGTAGCTATTATATGGTTGGGAAAAAGGGGGGGGGGGGTGGGATTTAGTCGACCATAGATCAAAGAACATAACTTTGAACCAACCCCTGCGGTTTTTTTTATCGTTGCGTGGTTTCTCTAGGTAATTTTCAGGAAAGTAGTTTTTATTTGCCTCCTGAAAAGTAGGACCCTCATACCATTATGACATTCATAGCAAAATTTTCTGCCCGCAACTCTTTTGCAGCTTGTTGGCTGATTTTTCTTTCCACCGGCAAATCGGGAAAAAGAGAAATATTTTTTTCTGACCTGCTGACTTTTAAGGCACAAGCAAAAACATATGTAGATATAAATAAATAAAGTGTGCGCTTTTCAGTCCCCGTTTGAAGCAGGATTTTCTTTTCCTGGCATGAATCAGACCTAAAATATGGATAAAAGACAATTTAAGAAGTGTTTTTGATTTACCCGGGAAAGAAAGGCGGCGAGGAAGGAAACTGGCATCTGCACTTCATGTTTCATATGTGGAGGCCTTAGACTTCACTTTCCACCATTAGTATTAGCTAGGGGATTATCTCACACTGTATTGCTAATTTTGTTTTATATAATTACTCGTCCTCTCAATCCAATATTAATATATTCATTTACAAACCTAAGATTCTGTGTAAATAAATAAAAACAAAAAAATACAATGCCTTATTTAAAACAACATACGAGGTAAGTATTTGAACAAATGTGGGCGTTTTTGGCTATGAAAATACTGACAGATTGGCTGGCTCTGCTAAAGTTGCAGGTGGTCATCCTGTGTATCCCACTGACAAAGTTATGCCCTTAGACAGACTGAGAGGGAGAGATAGAGAGAGAAAGAGAAAGAGAGAGAGAGAGAGAGAGAGAGAGACAGAGAGAGACAGAAAGAGAGAGAGGAGATAAGACAGAGATGAGATAGAGAGAGAGAGAGAGAGAGCGGGAGAGAGAGACAGAGGTGATGAGACAGAGATGGGAGACACACAGAGAGAAAGAGAGAGGGGAGGGGCGACAAAAGGAATTTGAAAGCAACAAGTTCGCATCGCTGCCAAGCATGCAAGTATTGGCATTTTGCGAGTTTAATTACTACAGCCTGGTAAGAGAGATCAACCGGTTGTACGAGAACTTTGTCACCCAGATAGGACACGGTACTATTAATTGCTGGACGCTGATGTATATGTTGAAAAGGGAATCTGAGCACTAACGAACGTGTCCGGAGTGCATTGCAGATAACTCATAAATTATGAAAGTCGTAACTTACCTCTATCATAACAACTTTGGCAACTCGGCCTTTCAACGGAAAAGGTGTAGATCTATTGGACTGGTACTTATCATCGTAAAATTTGAGTCGCTTATCAAAAACATAAGGTTTATTGTACCAGTGGCCTCTCTGTGGACAACAAAGTATGTAGTTTTAGAATATTTCTTCTTCTTCTTTCTTCCTTTTTTACTCTTCCTCCTCTTCCTCCTCCTGCTGCTGCCGCTTTTTCTTCTTCTTTTTCTTCTTCTTCCTTTTTCCTTCTTCACTCTTCCTCCTCTTCATCCTCCTCCTGCTGTTGCTGCTGCTGCTTCTTCTTCTTCTTCTCTTTCTTCTTCTTCTTCTTCTTCTTCTTCTTCTTCTTCTTCTTCTTCTTCTCGTTGACCTGCTGTAAACTCCGGAGGAAAATTCTAGTTGTTCGCTAAATTTTGGACTTTAGATTTGTTTTAGAACTTCAAGTTTACGTGGACATCTACTTTACAGATCTGGCCTATCTGTATGCAGACTGTCTCATAACATGACCAAAAAATGATGACCGTCTCTTTCTGATGATTGTGGTTAGTGTCGTGAAGTGAATCAACCCACTCCTGCACATTCGACTATTCGTGACGTTGGCGCCCCTAGCGGGCAGGTCAGATTTCAAATTTAGACCCTCCGGTGGGTAAATAGTCCATCATATCTATTTACACCTTTATCTGATGAAATAGACAAATCTATTTCTTCTGGATCTCTTGTGAAGTCTTCAATTTCAAATTTGTAGTTGTGGGGTAGAGATTCTCTGTATTAATATTCAGAATTCCGAGAAGCCTTTTTACTCCTCGACGCATTAATATCGCGGGCTACTTTCTTTGAAAGAACGCTAAAATTCAGTGTTGCCACTTTGGATCTTTTATATCTAAATTTAGATGTTTTTCATTGCATTTAGATACTGTTTTTGACGTTTAGATCGTAAATATTTTTCTAGATTCTTTTCATATGGAGTTAAGATATTTTATATATTTTTTTTTCTTTAATTGTCAATTTAATAATTACTGTGTAAAATATTTACTACAATATTTTTGTTTTGGTCTGGCACGTACATTGTGACAACTGCCATTACTTGAACTTTGAACTCTCACTATGGTCAATGCACAAATATCTGGCAGCCCCGGTACTGATGATTAAAAACGCGCGTAAATCATACTAACTTTGTTTCAACTGTATCCTCACTGTACTGACTTTGCGTTTCTTTTTCATGTGATTTAAAAAAAAAATTGCTCACCTTCTTATGTGTCTTTCACTTTGAAAAAACCTTTCAACATGCCAAAAGTAAAGTATGAGCAAAAAATGTGGAAAGAGTGGTTGCATGATGACAAAATTATAAACTGGGGATATGACCAAAGCTTGTTGTAAGTACTGCAAGTGTGAAATTAAAGCGAAAATACAAAACTCAAAGAGTCATGCAGAGACTAAAAAAGCATAAAACTGCAGTTTCATTTAAAGATGTTACACCGCTGACATCTGTTTTCAGAACTATACTAATAAATGAATCATCAAAAGTTGAAGTATCAGTCGCAATGTTTTTAATTTGTCACTGCGCAATTTCAAAAATTGACCATTTGAACGATTTGTAAAAAATCTTGGACTAGTTCAATTTGAAAAATGTGGTGTAGAAAGTATAGTTTAGGAACTGAAGGACCTTTTAATCAGCAAACAGTTAGGCTTGAAGAATTTGGCTGTAATTGGTACTGATAGTGCCTCAGTGATGGTTGGTATAAACAATGGCGTTTATGCCAAGTTGAAGGAAGCTAACCCATCGTTAATACTTATAAAATGTATGCGTCATTCATTGCAGCTAGCATTATCACATGCCTGATCTAAATATTTACCAAGGAATTTGGAATACCTTATTGCTGAAACACTTTACTGGTTTTCCAGATCATTTGTCAGACAACAGCAATACAATACATTATAAACAGCCTTGAATGATGGTTCCACACCACCGAAAATTCTGTCAGATTGCAAAACTAGATGGTTATCAATTTAACCAGCTGTTGAAAGAATTATGAAGCAATGGCTGAAGTTGAAGACACACTTTGAAATAACAAGACAAAGTGAAAAGTGCTACACAGCTGAAATACTATTTGGAATGTACAGTGATGAAAAAAAAATGTCATTCATTCTCTTTTTATAACCTCTTCTAATGGAAGTGCACAAAGTTAATAAACTGTTCGAATCTAAACTTGTTGATAAAGCTGATTTGCTCACTTGCACTATAGAGAGCTATTTGGCTCCCAAGCCACACCTTGGATATTAAATCGAATCAAAAATTGATGATTTAAAAACAAAAGGACTGTTAACAGAGAAGCAAAGAACAACTTAATAAAGCGCTGTCAATATTTGCTTATCTCATTATTGAAGCAACTGAAGCAGAGACTTCCTGAAAATCTAGATGTTTTGAAAAATATTTCACTTTTTTTCTGTGAGCAACATACATCAGCCAGTAAAGGACATACCTAAATATTGTCAAGTTATGAAATTTTTAGGGGCTACTGATAATAGTGTCGCGGAAGCAGAATATCAGTTAACCAAAATAAAGTTAGCTGAATGGACAAACAAAACAGAAACTAAAGCGTTTTTAAGTGAAGTGAGACAATTTAAAGATGCCTCATCAAACAGTCCATTCTGTAAGCTCTTTGAATGAGCCATGTCTGCCATTATACTACCCCACTCAAATGCTGACGTAGAAAGAGTTTTCAGTGCTAGGAATTATATCAAAACTAACCTAAAAAACAGGATGATATATGACCTCTTAAATGCTATCGTCCCATTAAAATTCGGCTTGATGAGACTAGAGAAATAAGCCTACTGTTCCACTTATAAAGAAATTTGAACAGCTAAAGCATACCAGGGTAATTTTGGATCTGAAGCTTCAACTTCATTATCTAAGCTAAGTTTATCCTGTGGATCTTGTGAGGCGGGCATCAGTGAAGGTGAGGACATGATTATGTAGGGTAAGTCATAACAAAAGCTATGTAATTTTTGACTTTTTCAATTTGGATGTTTTTTCTAGATCTTTTCCACGCAGATTTAGATCTTTTTAGATATTTTTCGACACCGTTTTGGATATTTTTTGTCAAAGAAAAGTGGCAACACTGCTAAAATTTCCCTCTCATTCACTGCTGACTTCCAGAGAGTTCAGACGCATTTGCCTTTGTGCCTGATTTCTACTTTTAAAAGTACCAGTTAATTTCTGGAGGAAATTCTACGCTTGAGTAAGTTGATTTTAGTGTGCGAGTACCATGTATTTATATTTATTCATTTAACCTGCTGCTGAGTAGAGGAATGATTCAGCTATGTGACACTGCTGAACGAGACTGTTCTTGGTGTCAATCTACTCCTGGGCAACTAAATCAATCTTGTCCCTTTTCAAACTGTGATTAGGTGTCCAACCTAAACCAATGTTAATATAAAGGAACTAATCTGACAGCCTGATCAGGTTTCTAACGAACTGGTGGGAATTTTGAAAAAAGGCATTCAAGCTGGCGAGATAATTGGGTCAGCGTTCAGGTTGTGTACAGCGGGCGAAACACAGTGGCATCCAGGGTTATTTATAGATCACTCTTAATCAACACAGGTCAACTACGACCAGATATATATTATGACCGTGATATATACATATGTGGGAGAATGATAATTGGTGTGACTAAAAGTGCAGATGTGGGTGTGGAGAGATGATGGTCTATGTTTGAGAGAGTCTATCTGTCTCCACTGTTGTACTCGTCTCCTGTCCCTGTTCCTGACTGACCGATAGAGAGTAATTTGGAGACTTCTGCTGTCTCATTATCCTAGAGCTGTCCTCTGAGTGATTGTCAGGGGTGGAGGGTAAATAAATGAGCTGAGCGTGTAACCTCTGAGATGACTACTAATTCTGAGTTCCTTCCTGATACAGGATGAAATTCCCTTGGAGGCCAGGCATTGAATCAGCAGTCTAGAAAAGCACCAACCACCAAAGTGCCCACTACCAAGTTGCCAACCACCAAATTACCCACTACCAAACCATCACTATGGCAAACAGCAATGTGGGAGCCAAAGTGTAGGCATCTTCTTACAGGCAGCCCAACTGACATTCACACCAGTGTGCTTTCTTGGGGAGCGTGTTGGGTTCCAGTGGCAGAAAGGCTGTTGTTTCAGTCCATCAGGACCCCCCTCGGTCCAGAACACCCTCTTCAGGAGCTTGTTCAGCTCCAATTTTAAACTCTATATGTGACTGTGTCTGCCAGATCAACCAGTGAAGTGAACATTCTCAGAAGGCCAGCCTGTTCCAGTATCATGAACTGATAAATGCAGTGACTTCAACCTGGAATAGGAACAGATAAGTAGTGAACTCTATGGTGAGGCCGTGTTCTATATTTACAGGTCCACTCCAAATCACCATGTGATGTTAGGCGGCCTCTAAGAGATTCCTCAATGTCCGTCAAAGGAATTTCGGTGTTGATCTTGCAATATTCCAGTGCTTTCTAATATCTTCTCTTGAGTCATATATCATGTTGATGTTGAACTTATTACATGTATTTCCAAGTTTTCACAATTGACTGGAGTGTCAATCATTCATTGTTCTTAGCTGTCTAAAGTACATGTATGTTCAATTAATAATCTTCATCTGTGTTAACATGGCTATGATAGTACACTAAACTGCATGCAGCCTATCTACCACCCCCTGAAATATTAGACTGTCCCGTGACCTATAGATTTACCCTGTTTGGGGTAGGAAATTAATAAAGCACCGAAAAAAATACCTTGGCCTCGTCAAGACCTGAACCAACGACCTTCCCATCCGCTATACGAGGGGAGGTCACTTCCAACTAATTCACAATTGATTATTGTAAAGTTAAGCCCACTCAGGAAATAATATCAGTGTTATTACACCCATGGGTGAAATGCCACATGCGATGTGGATAAATGAGGAAAATGCAGAGTGGTAATTGAACGTAGGGCTTTTAATTAATGGCATTATGTTGTTTATCATCTGGCGTGACATTAAAAAGGGTAGCTGGAGAAGAGAAAGAGGAAAGGGGAGGGTAGGTAAAGAGGGGGGGGGGAGAAACAGAAAGTGAGAGAAGGAGTTTACAGAAACAAAGAGAAAGAGAGACAAATACATACATACAGAGAGTAGGGGTGTTGGGGAAGAGAGAGAGAGAGAGAGAGAGAGAGAGAGAGAGAGAGGAAGAGAGAGAAGGGAGAGAGAAAGAGAGAGAGAGAGGTAGGGGCACTGTAAGTGAGAGAGGCCGACAGACAGACACAGACTACTATAGGGAGTGAGAAACACACATATAGAAAAGAGAAAGCTGGAGAGGGGAAAGGGGAAGGAGGGAGAGCGTTGGAGACTAAATATACGTATGATGTTTGTGCGTGAGTGCATAAATAACAGAGACACGTTATCCCACACGTAAAAGAGACACGTAATCCCACACGTAAACAGAGAAACATCAACCCTAGCGTAACTCAGATAGACGATAGCACAAGTAATTGAGAAACAGAACTGTAACCACTCACCAGGTATGTTTCACTGCCAGTGAAGGCTGTAATAGTTAAGGAGAAATTGTCGCGCCGACCCTCACTGTTAAACTCTAGATTTCCGGTCATGCCCGTTTCCACATTCTGTTGAAAGTCGTTATCTTTGTTAATTGAAACTATTTAAACGCTGACAATAACAGCATATCAAAATATTACTGAAGAAACTTAAAAACTGGAATCTACCATAAATCTTCCACAACATAAATTAGCAGTAACGGGAAAATAAAATCATTTTTACAAAGACTTAGATTTGGCAGTAGCCCAAACAAAATCACAAGAAATAAAAGTAATATTGGGAGATTTTAATGCAAAAGTTGGGAAAGAGAGAACGGAAGATAAAGTTGGGGAATATGGTTTAGGATTAAGAAATAAAAGAGGTGAAACACTGGTAAAGGGAGCAAAAATAAATGATTTGATTATTAGAAACACCTGGTTTAAACAACATAAGAGGCGACTATACACGTCAAAAGGTCCAGATAAGAAAACATTCAGTCAAATAGATTATACACAAATTAACAAACGGTTTAGAAATGCACTAACAAATGTGAAGACAAGACCTAGTGCTGACTGTAACAGTGACCACGTCCTATTAGGTTAAAAATTAAATGTACGACTGAAGAGGGGAAAGAAAGAGATGAAAAACTGTAGATTAAACAAGAGAGGATAAAAACATCCAGGAGCGATATAGAGTGATTGGAAGGAACAGGTACAATACAATACCAAAAATACAAACGATAAACGATCAGTGATAAATGCTGAAAGGGTCTATCCACTAAACAAGCAATTTGATTTTACCAGAAAGAAGACAAACAACTAAACAGAAATGGATGACCGAAGAAACTTTAAAGTTAATGGGTGAGAGAAAACAATCTATAAATGACAAAGAAGAATATGACAAGATAAATAAAGAAGTAAGACATAAATGTATGACGGCAAAAGAAGAGTGGCTAAATGAACAATGCAATAAAACTGAACAAAGTCTTGTTAAAGATGCAAAAAAGTGTGCACAAATAAAAAAAAAAAACGATCTAACTGGAAGAGTTGGAGAATACAATATAAACAATTTGCGTTATGCAGACGATACAGTTTTGATAGCTGAAATGCAACTGATTTACAAAAACTGCTGGATATTGTGGGGATGAAGAGTGCTAAGAAAGGACTTCCATTGAATATTCAGAAAACGGAAGTAATGGTTATATCATTGTGATATCTCAATTGATAGGAAAAAGACTTAACCAGAACAATAAATTCAAATATCTGGAAACAATCATATCATCAGATGGAAAATGTGTTGTCTTTATATACAACAAAAAGAAAGAGAAAAACACTGTTCTTTGACCACATAACGAGAAGAGAGACATTTAAGAACATCGTGAGAGCTGGAAGAACCGTGGAAAAGAGAGTAGAGGCAGACCAACAGAAATGATGCTGGATAGGCTAAAACGATGACATGGAGGGATATCATCAAGAGAGCTGTTCCATGCAACCAAGGATCGTGATCTGTGTAGACACATGAGCGCCTACGCCAGTTGACAGGGCACATGATGATGACCATAAAACTGGACAACCACTGAGATTATCCCAGATTTAGACAAACAGATGTTTGCCTGTCCTCTACAGAACTTTCCCGAAGCAAACTAAGCAATTTTGGCTGTTTGTGATTTTTGAAAGCAAATTAACCTTTATTAGTTTGCAATTCTCTTGAACAGTGAGCTCTGTCGAAACCAACGCAAGGCAGTCTGCTGCCAAATCTCCTCCAGCTGGGATCGAATCCAAAATCTCGGCAATACGAAGCGTGTTCACAACACCTGAGCCACATACGCCACCGACGATTACTTAGGTCTATTTCAAATCTAGACAAATGAGATTTGTCTTAAATCTGGACAGTTACTGAGAACTATCCCAAATCTGGTGACAGACTAGGTAAAATCTATAATAAATCTAAACACACACTAAATGTGTTGTGGTTTACAGCTAGGCTGTCATATCTGCGCCCTTCGGCCCAGTAATCCGATTTCGGTAGTTCTAAATAATCGTCATTTGTCAACATGTATGTTAAATGGCAGCAGGTCAACTCCCACTCCATATGGGCGACCATTGTACCCACGTAGGGGCTGAACGACTTAGCATGCGTTTATTAGGACTTCCTAGCATACGGTGCTTTCTGGGCGCTCCTGTACCATACATAACATTGCCTTGAAAGGTTTTGTGAACTAAATCGTCACGTTCAGTCAGGATCCTCGAAGGGACAGCTTTAGGTTATAATTGTGACTAGGTTATGTAAGGGTCCTTTTTCCATGCATTTATTTGGAATATATGATTAGACCTATATTTGTATAGACTAATGGACATTTGGTGGGTGATGTGGTCAGTATCAAGCCGGCGGCCTTTACCTCCTAGGGACTATGTTATGTGCGCCAGATGAAATGGCTTAGCATTACCCTCCACCAAGTAACCCTGAACAGTACTCCTGCAGTGTTGATTCCATCAAAGGAGACAGACCGATACTGTCCTGACGGTCGACGAAGTCGTCTACCGGTGAGCCAGTGTGTGACCAGGTCGCCGATGTGGGGCGATATATATAGACAAAAAAGGTGCAATCTATACCTGACACCTAGATTTACTGGTAACACGATATTGCTGTGGGATCAACACAGATTATAATTCACCACTACGACTCTGGCCAGCCACACTCACTTACTGAAGCCCTTCTGTACATTCCTTAATGCCTCTGTTCTAGCTGGTCACTGTTATTTTTTTTTTCCCCGCTATTTTGTGAGCTTAAAGATCAGATTAAGACACTCGATGCGGATCGGAAGGTCGGGAGTTCAGGTTTCTGCCGATAATCGGATTTTAAAAAAAATGACCTTGGCTTTCATGTCGACCCAGCCTTGAGTGAATCCCAGGTAATTTCTGGGAAGTAAAGGTGGTCGACGTGATGCTGACCACATCACCCACCGAGTGCCGTTTGGTCAATTAAATATAGATCTAGCCTTAGAAACCTAATGCGTCTGAAGGGCGTTTAAAAGGGTCCTTGACTTTTTTTTTTTAACTTTAAAGAGCAGATTAAACAGTAACTGTACACAGGCCTCGCTGGCTAGAAAAAACTGCTTGGTTTGCCATAGTTTGTTTACCCATCCTTTAAGCAGAATCTGCATCAAAACTTATTATTTTTGGCATCCTTGCATTTAAAAGACTGCACCTTGTCACAGGCTGTAAAAGCCGTTACGGTCACAACTTCTTTGGAGCTTTTACGGGGTACCAGGGATTAGCAATGCTGGTAGGATACCAAGTAACAGACAATGTATTGATCGGCACTCATAGAAAGAAGAAGAAAGATTGAAGATCACACTAGACAACATAAAAATCGAAATCTATAATTACCTCAATGGTTCCCCTTCTGTTTATTTATTAATTGGTATGCTACCAGGGTAAACGAGCCTTCAGGTAGAAAAACAGAAGGAGAAAAAAGACAGACGTACAGACACATGCGGATTTAAAATAAACAGCACATGTCTTGGACTGACAGATTTAACTCTCGGCCTCAAGTAACAAACGGTGTGTGAGGGACACCATATCTTGATTTGCCTCCGTAGCATTATGTGATCTTTTTAATTACAAATTTAATTAGAACAAACTAAAGAAATCTGGCGTCTTCAGTATAATTACCACAGTGACGTTTGGCGCTTGGAAAGTAATGCATTCGTACTTTTTCACCCTGGCTATTTCTTCACTTTGGAAAAAAAAAAACATCTGGCTCAGTGAGGACCTCAACCCACGTCTCTCCGACCCGCAGGCGAATCTCTAGCTACTACATCACGACGGCTCCCCAAAACCTTATGTTACTGAAAGAGTAAAGAGACGACTTAAACAGGAGTTTCTCACATTCAAAATCAATCTGTTGAGTTCGTTTCTCAAAGCAGCATCAGACAAGGTGATATTTGCTCCCCGAGCTCCTTCCAGAATCATCTTATAGGAAGAGATGACCAGCTGGAGGGCGTCACTAGAGAGAGCAAAGTGCAGCCGTGGATGACCGTTGGACGTGAAGGGATCGTTGTACGGTAACAAGGTGATCACTGTGAAGTTGCAAGCGATGTCGTTGTACTTGTTGAAGATGTTTTTAATTTCATCACCCTGAAATTAGATGTTGTTATCCAGCAATTACCGTGAAATTATGTCATCAAACTGAAATGAGTTGTCAGCATTCTATAAATTCATGTCCAAACTCTGTAAATACATGTCAAAGACTACGAAGTAATTTCAGACCCCTGACGTAACATATCATAACCATATAATTACAGTAAGTACACTGTATTACATACCATTAATCTGAAAATAAATTTCCTCACAATGAAATTACATTTTATAACTGAAATTGCGTAGTATCATGATGAAACCATATGTTAAAGCCCTGAAAGTGCATGTCGACACAGTGAAATTATGTCATCACTGTAAAATTATGAGTCGTCATCCTGAAATTACGTGTAATGACATTAAAATTATACGTCATCGTCAGGAAATAATGTCGTCTCTCTGAAATTATATGTAATCAACCTGAAAATACGTGTTATGACCGTCGGCAAGATTTTCAAGTCTTTATTGCTCCCACCGCTGAACTTGAAAACCTCCGAACGATCTGTAAAGGACAGCCCCATAATTAATCGCTAGGGGGATCCTGGCTTCGCCTCAGTGCTACTCTTCTCTCCTCATTTCATACATCCTTCAGTTTCAGATGCTTTGTTGTAATCTATATTTGATGGCTAACAACCTTCGTACACCGTAAAGTTACACATTATCACAACGAAATTATTTGTCATCACCGTCAAATGAAATGTAATCACTGTTATACGTTAAAATATTTTAATATGCAAAGTAGCTAGTCATGCAATGGTGTTTTAATATGTTCACTCCTCATGTTGCTTCCATGGCACATAATAGACAAAAGATGGTGGGGGGTGGAAATAGACCCATTCCTCTAAAAACTAAAAACAAAAACAAAGCATGTCATTAAGGCACCCAGTTAAATAGTTAGCATTGTAGACTTTGAATCCAGCGATTCGAGTTAAAATCTCGGTTGCACCTGAATTTTGGGAGGTCTCCGTGGCGAGGTGGTCCAGCCGTTTACCTCGCTCTCTGAAGGTCGTGGGTTCGTTTCAAAGCTGCACAGTTCAGTTTACAAGTGCAATTTTTACGGAGATCCCTGGGACCCTCGCTGGAGCTACGGAGGTCATGCTCTGTGGGGCGCTCTCGGCAGGTGGTCAGTCTTTCTGTGGAGAGAGACTGAGCCCTATTAAATAAAGCCTGGTGCAATAAAGTCGATCCTCTCGACTTTAACCTTTAACCTTTTACCTCAACAATCGTACAATGTGCAAGTTGCCCTTTAATTTTCGAAAGCAAAGGGTGATTATCTGAACTTTTTTTTTTTTAAAATTTTCATGTTATACATTAATATTTTTGTATGTAAAATTCCAATTTTTTAAATGATCACACTCCACTTGGCTGTTCTTATTTCTTTCTTTTCTTTTCTTTTCTTTCTTTCTTTCTTTCTTTCTTTCTTTCTTTCTTTCTTTCTTTCTTTCTTTCTTTCTTTCTTTCTTTCTTTCTTTCTTTCTTTCTTTCTTTCTTTCCTTTTCTTTTCTTTTCCTTTTCTTTTTTTTCTTTTTCTTTTCTTTCTTTCTTTTGAGGTTCTTTCTTTCTTTCTTTCTTTCTTTCTTTGCTTTCTTTCTTTCTTTCTTTCTTTCTTTCTTTCTTTCTTTCATCTTTTCTTTCTTTTTTCTTTCTTTCTTTCTTTCTTTCTTTCTTTCTTTTCTTTCTTTCTTTTCTTTCTTTCTTACTTTCTTTCTATTCTTTCTTTTTTTCCTTTCTTTCTTTCTTTCTTTCATTTCTTTTCTTCTTTCTTTGCCTTTCTTTTTCTTCTTTCTTTCTTTCTTTCTTTCTTCTTTCTTTCTTCTTCTTCTTCTTTTTTCTAGTCCTGATCTGCCTTTCAGCGTCAGGTTTTGAAGACGCCCCTGGTGCAAGCCCTGGTATGACCTACTGCCTTGGATATTCCATCTATCCATCGCTTGCTTGGTCGACCTCTTATTCTGCTTCCATTGTGTGTAACATGGCTCTCTGTGGTGAGCTACCTTGTGGTGTTTTTAACACATGTCCGAACCATTCGACATGTTGTGTCTTTATGAGATCTATTACTGGGTCGCCCCAATTTCTCTCCAGAGACCGGCATTTCGTATCCTTTCTCTACTTGTTAAATTTAGAATTCGTCGTAGACATTTCATTTCTGTTGTTTCGATTTGTTCTCTAATGAAAATTACAGTTCACAACACAGTACTTTAATAGATAAAATACATAACTTATGTCGTGTTTACATTCAAGTATTTGCTACTTACGGGGTCATAGAATATCCAGCCATATGGAGGGGTGGACAGCATAGCCAGGTTTCGCGCCTGTAAATAGTTCGAACACGACAATGTGAATGCATTAATTAATCTTTCAGTGCCCACACACTCGTGCATGGACACACAGGACACAAAACTTATTATCTTATTATTAATCATTTATATGAAACTATTCTCAATTGCTTAAATAACAGCCTTGTTTCTAGGTTTAGAGAACATTAAATCAAACCATGACCGTCTCTAGCTGATGGGCCATGCTGGTGACGTCACTGGGTCGGGCCAACGATGCGTTTACGCAGATGAGGTTCTTAAACAAGAGTAAACTTTTTTCGACAGTGGCGAGGGAAGACAACGTAAATTTTAACGTTTTAAGAATCGACTTGCCTTCTTTAATAATTTCACAATTTGTAGCCAATTTTTTTCTGATTATTACCGCAGCACCCTCTGGTTTACATTCACGGCATCACAAAGTGTCACAGCACCACAAGGTGTCACGTTTGAGAACCGCTGCTTTAACGCATTGTTAGCCCGACCCGGTGACGCCAGCAGCACGGCTCGTCAACTGGAGCCGGTCGTGATCAAACACTTACAGTAAAGTAAATGTGTTTTCTTTTAGGCCAGTGGTTCTCAGTCGGCCAGTCGTGACTTTTTTGTGTGTGGGTTAAACGGCCCCTTTACAGGGGCTGCATAAGACCATCAGAGAACACATATTTATTGAAGTTATGAAGGACAATAATTGTTTTGGGGTCGCCACAACATGAAGGAACTGTATTCAAGAGTCGTGGCATTAGGAAGGTTGAGAGGCACTGTTCTAGACGATTACAAACCAACAAGTCGGTCAACCAGCATTGGACTTAGAACTCTCCTGACTGAAAAACCTCTATAGAGATATAGTTGATAGCACGTTTGCCTGGCGAGACAGTGGTTGCTTCAACAATTTTAGTGTCCAATGAACACCATCATGTTGCTGCGTTCCCTGGGTTCATCAAAGATCCAGTGCTTCCACATTTAGAACCTTTCTGACTAGAAAACCAACATAGAGGTATAGTTGATAGCACATTTGGCTGGCGAGAAAGTGGTTTCTTATACAGTTCTACTGTCCAATGAACACAATTATGTTGATGCTTTTTCTGGGGTTATCAACACTTTTGTGTCTCTGCACGAATGGCCTTCCGGACTACTTAGTAGTATAGATGATAGTACGTATGCCTGACGAGACAGAGATGTGGGATCAATATTTAGAAGCAGCAGAACTTTTTCGGACCTTAAATACTCTTGGGTCACACACATAAACATCAACTATTAACTGCATTTCTAGTGAGAGACTGTTAGTGTTGGCCTCTCTGACAGCTGTCTTAAACATTTAATGCGTGCTCGAATTGTTGGAATTTTTCAAGACTGCTATCTGTTTGACTGTTCACACGTGATAGGGACAGGCACTGTCTGTGGTTTTATTAGCATTGAAACGGACAGTTATGGGGTGATTCGTTTGCATTAAAGTTGGAACAGCGACTGATAACCTAATTTGATAAAAAGGTTTACCAAATACGGCAGGGCTTCAAATGAAAACCTTAGAAATTACAATAATCATGCCATAATCGTATATCCCTCGATACTGTTGTTAAGGATGTTAAGAGTGTTAAACAAGTGAATACGTGATACCATGGTGGAGACGTATAACAATTTATTCTGGAAACTGCCTTGGAAGGAAAGGCGACGAGGAAACAAAAATGGCCACCACAGCTGATCTTTGGTTGCCCTGAATGTGCTGGTATCAACAAAAGTATTCGCCACGAACCTGTCTTTATCTTAACACAGTCTTACATTAGCTATTTTAAGGTCGTGTGGTAATTTTTCGGCTGCGTCCTTCAGTCAACGAGGGCAATTTTTAAGGAAGTCCCTGGGGATCGGCCCTGGAGGTACAGAGTTCGAGATTTTGCGATGCTAGCGGCTAGCCGCACTGCGGAGATAGACTGAGTAAAAGTGCTGCTATGAAGCTGATCTTCTATACGTTTATTTTATTACATCAGCTCTCCAAACAACATACTTATGTTAATTTTAATTTCACACTGACACGAGCAGACTTCAGAATGTAATGATGTATATTTTTTTTTTCTTTGGCGATTAATAAAGATAGAAACAATAAACTGTGCACACTTCAGATTGAAATATCTGTATTTTATTTTAAATTAAAAAAAAAAAATCGTTTAGGTTGCGTGCAAAGACGATGTGCCTTATAAACAGTAAACTGTTATAGCATTTCTAGTTAAAAAATAGAAAATATTGCAAAAAAAAAAAAAATTCGTTAAGGTGGTGTGCAAAGACGATGTGCTTTAGAAACAGTAAACTGTTATAGCATTTCTGGTTAAGATATAGAAAATATGGCAAATAATAAAAAAAAATATTGTATGTAAAGTGTTTGGAAATTGAGCAATAAATAGGACGGCGGTTAATCACTTGGCTCCGAGAGTGAAAGCTTTAGAAAGTGAAGATATCAACAACACCACATATGATACAAGCAAGGTACATGTCATTGTTTCGCTTTGACGTAAAACCGTAGTAGTGGAGAAGAAAAACACACACATCTGGGATTTGTATAAGACATAATAATTTGCGTTATGAATAAATTTCATACAATTTACACAAATATTTGGAAGAAAAACGATAAGGCATATTATTTTCTAAACGTTCCTCCTGCATTACCTCTTCCATGATGACTTTAATGTTCTCTTTATTACAGAGCACCACGCACTTCTCCACTAAGACTTTTCTCATGTCCACTAGTGAATCCCGTACGTCTTTCACTGAAGCTTTCTCTGGCAGTCTCCAGGCACGGACAGACATTGTATGGTTAGTCATCAGCTTCTCTAGCACTTGTATTCCTGGAAAGAACATGGTAATAAAAATGAAGCCAAAAGCAAAACAGAATATTCTATAATTGTGGTTTCAAACTGTTTTTTGTTTTGTTTTTGCATTGGTTTTTTTACCACCCATGGTGAAATATGTTCAGCCACTCGTTTCTTCAGTCGTCGATCAGTTCGGCTCACACATGCACATTACAGGTGCTTTTAACTTGGTAAATACAATTAAATGTTACTTACGCCAAGACTGGTTCTTGCACTAGTTTCGTTCAAATTACGGTATTTTAACAACGGTATCCCTCTTTTAAGGGTGCGGAGTTGGTCATGCGTTGAATTTCGCTTTTTCCTGCAGCGAGACACTGTAGTCATTCGGAATTGACCAGTTCGATTATCATTGATGTGACTACAGCTTTTGATTTTTGTTGTGTCAGTATCGCTGGAAAAAAAAAAAAACCACATCTACCGCTAGAACAAAAATAAGCCCTGCAAGAATGTATAGACACTCTCATCCACCGACTACTGATTGGTGAAAAAAAAAAATATCTGAGTTTAGCATTATATGTCCGATGCGCCACTGGTTTTAAAAAAAGTCATTTATTTGTACTTGTGACTGAATCTGACTTACCCACATCATCATCATAAAAGACGCTGATCTTGGACCATATGTAGGCTTGAGCGACGTCTAGCATGGCGTCTGAGGAGTGCCTCATTTCCGGGTTCACCTGCGATAGATGTCATACACACTGATCTACTAGGATCTATATAGGATTTTATATATATATAATGTTTTCGTGTTTTATATATATATGTTTATGTGTGTATGTGTGTGTGGTGTAATGTTGTAAACTTGGGATACATGTTGTATACATTCGTTTAACCATCCCCAGCATTAGTTTGCCATTACAACTGATTGCTGGACAGTCGCCTCTTGAAAACCACTGTCGAAGTAACACAAGGCGAAAAAAACACCTGCAGCTGGGATCGAACCCGGCACCCCAGCATTTTAAAGCGCGTTCGCAACACTAGAGCCACAGACGCCAACAGTTATACGAAGTTGAAAGACCATTTTGAACATTAATAAATAAAACGCACACACCACCATCATTATGTATTTCAGCACTGGGTATTTCGGTTTTAGAAAGTTTGGTCTCCCTACTGAAAGCAGGTCACGTTCCATTGATAAGTTTGTTGGACTAGTCTACCGTGGTCGAGGTTATGGGTGTGGCGGTCTGTTGTTGCACTTACGTTTTTATTTCGAGAAAAGAGACTGCCTGTGAACATAGGTTTTATCACTCTCTAAGGGGATTGTGTTAGACCCAGTTTTTACATTCCTGCACTTCACTTTACTTTAATTCCTTTCTGTTTATTCTACTTTACTTTATTAATCATTGCCTGTTAACGCAACTGCAAGACTATCAGTAATGTACGATGTGCCATGCGTGCGCCTCGGGTCCGAATCCTCGGTAAGGTTGGGAATATATTTTTCTGTTGGGGGCAAAATAAAAACCTCACCTGCACAGTCCATGGCGACAGCACTAGCCATGCAGCCGTAAACCATCAGGCTGAAACAACCCCTGCCTATACTGCACAAATGGTATGATTTAAAAAATAAAATAGCAGTAATATACACTTCAATAGCTACTACCTGTACTGTGTAGTTGAACCTCTGCAGCCTCCCCACAGTGGTCGTACACACATAGGGGATCCTTAGGGATTCAGTGGCCAGGCTAACCTCAGGGTCATAAGGGCCTATCACAGCATGGACGTTCAACGTTGATATAGTCTTGTAAGCTGCAGAGAAAGGGGACATATGTAAGGTACCTACTGTAAAGGACACTTGTCTTCGCCTTCAGACCTACTAGGTATATAGGGATAGACCTGTGTTTTATAGACCGGTCAATACTTCTCCTCTCAACGTCTCTGACTTCCTTGTCTCAACGTCTTTGACCTCCTTGTCTCAACGTCTCTGACTTCCTCTTCTCAACGTCTCTGTCTTCCTTGTCTCAACGTCTCTGACTTCCTATGTCTCAAAGTATCTGACTTCCTCGTCCTACCGTGTCTGACTTTCTCGTCTCTGACTTCCTAGTCTTAACGTCTCTGGCTTCCTCGTCTCAACGTCTCTGACTTCCTCGTCTCTTACTTCCTATGTCTCAATGTCTCTGACTTCCTCGTTTTAAATTCTCTGACTTCCTATGTCGTAACGTCTCTGACTTACTGTCAACATCTCTTGATTTTCTTGTCTCAAGTTCTCTGACTTCCTATGTCGTAACGTCTCTGACTTCCTATGTCGTAACGACTCTGATTTCCTCTCAACGTCTCTGACTTCCTCGTCTCAAGTTCTCTGACTTCCTATGTCGCAACGTCTCAGACTTCCTAGTCTGAAGTTCTCTGACTTCCTAGGTCGTAACGTCACTGACTTCTCTCAACGCCTCTGATTTCCTCGTCCCAGCGTCTCAGGCTTCCTCGTCTCTACATCTCTGAGTCGTATGTCTGCCATGTAAAGCAATCTGTATGTGAAAATTGTATCGGTTATTGGGACGTTCAGCTAGGAGCTCTTGGTGGTGCGGTTAAGAACGTTGGAATCTCCTCCAGGAGACCTGGTTCGAAATATTCAATAAAGAGAAAGGTGGAGGGGGAATGAGAGACAGCAGAGACAAAGAATATTTCAATCCTATGATATGATTGCTTATCTGAGCTGTGCAGTAGAAGGCGGGTGGGGGGTTATCATTTTGCATGTTATCTTGACAGTCAGACAAATAGATAGATAGATAGATAGATAGATAGATAGATAGATAGATAGATAGATAGATAGATAGATAGATAGATAGATAGATAGATAGATAGATAGATAGATAGATAGATAGATAGATAGATAGATAGATAGATAGATAGATAGATAGATAGATAGATAGATAGATAGATAGATAGATAGATAGATAGATAGATAGATAGATAGATAGATAGATAGATAGATAGATAGATAGATAGATAGATAGATAGATAGATAGATAGATAGATAGATAGATAGATAGATAGATAGATAGATAGATAGATAGATAGATAGATAGATAGATAGATAGATAGATAGATAGATAGATAGATAGATAGATAGATAGATAGATAGATAGATAGATAGATAGATAGATAGATAGATAGATAGATAGATAGATAGATAGATAGATAGATAGATAGATAGATAGATAGATAGATAGATAGATAGATAGATAGATAGATAGATAGATAGATAGATAGATAGATAGATTAGACAGACAGACAGACAGACAGACAGACAGACAGACAGACAGACAGACAGACAGACAGACAGACAGACAGACAGACAGACAGACAGACAGACAGACAGACAGACAGACAGACAGACAGACAGACAGACAGACAGACAGACAGACAGACAGACAGACAGACAGACAGACAGACAGACAGACAGACAGACAGACAGACAGACAGACAGACAGATATACAGATAGATAGATAGATAGATAGATAGATAGATAGATAGATAGATAGATAGATAGATAGATAGATAGATAGATAGATAGATAGATAGATAGATAGATAGATAGATAGATAGATAGATAGATAGATAGATAGATAGATAGATAGATAGATAGATAGATAGATAGATAGATAGATAGATAGATAGATAGATAGATAGATAGATAGATAGATAGATAGATAGATAGATAGATGTAAGGTTTAACGGATGGGCGGACGAATGAATAAATGAATGAAAAGATGAATAGACAAATAGACAGACAGACTTACTTTTCTCTATTTTATCAAATGCTGTCTTGGTAACGCCGGTATCAATATCCTGGAGGTGAATACTTACATTCCATTTACCGTAGTCAAATGCCGAAGCAACCACTGCTCTCCATTTTGGAATGACACCTTTGGAATCAAAGTCAGCTATTGGTCACACGTTACATAAGAAAACAATGCACACACAAGGGCGAACACTGGGGTGTGGAAGGTGGTGAGGGGGGACAATCAGGCACATAATTTACTTAGCAGGATAAACATTTCTAGAAAATTTCTTAGCGCCCACTCACTCACACCCCCTCCCCCTTTTGCCCCTTTAGCCCTTTACTTTCCTAAATCATGTTAAAAAAAGATTGATGCAGTTGGGGGTGGCGAGAGGTTCTGGCAGAAGCTCAAGGCTCAGAGGAAAGGCAAGACGGACGTTTAATCAGAAAGCTACTGGCACCATTAGTATCGGAACTCTTCGCTGGCTGCTGTATTATCCTTACGTCCTTTTCAGGACGTAATTTTTTGTTATTTGAAGCCCCCTCTCTGGCTTTTGCCAGGGGCCGCAATATAGGCAGGCCCTAAATATGGCCAATTGTCTGAACGCGGTTTCTGGGACCTCTCCACGGTGATCCTCATCCACATGGTGGCACTTTGTGTCATTGGGTGTTTATCGCTTGTGTGATGTCCTGGTAGAAATTCATTTATTCATTCATTCGCTGGCTGCTAAGATGGGGACGGAGGGCTTGTGGGAATTCCCCGAGTGCTGTGATGTCGGTTCTTGAATCAAATAAAATCATGTTAAAAAAAAGTTGTTTTTTTCCTGTTCTTTTTCAAATATTTATTTCAACATTATTTATTATCTCAGTTACATGATTAAATGCATTTGCTATTCTGCACATAATAATAATAAAAGCCTATTATTACACACTTAAACAAAGTCTAAGTCCCAACCAGGATCCTTTAGAAAAAAATTAATGGGGCTGCGGTCCTTTACTCCCCTTCTTTTTTATCTTTGCGGTCCCGTGCATAGGTATTCATTAGCACTTAATTGCCCAGACTTCACAGCTGTATGTTAAAACTGGCTCTATATAGCATGCGAGAATTCTTTTCCTAACCTGCAATGATTCATTGCAAAAAATGCTCTTCCTTTTGTAAAATGCAGTTTTGGCCTGTCCTATTCTATTCTTTATCTCTGTGATACATCTTTCATTAGATGCTATACTTACATTTCTGTACTTGTCTTAAATTAACGAATTTGACTTTAAAAAAATACATTTAGATACTATTCTTTTCTTCGAAATCATCATAACTTCTGTCTTTACATTATTCAAACTAAGGTCCATTGTAATACTTTTTACCACTACTGCATCTGTCAATTCCTGTATTCTTTCTGACTTGCAGCCATCAAGATGGTGTCATCAGCATAATGTGGGTTGTTTATGTTTTGCCCACCAACCACAATTCCTTGAGGATACGACAGTGGTATTAAATAATTAGAAACATCATGTTTAAAAAAAAAAAGATTTAATTACCTTAGTCTTTGTCTTCAGACGTGATCTCCAATCTGGGGGTGGGTAGGACGAGGGTGGAGAGGGGGGGGGGGTGCAAAGAGGTTTCACGGAAGCGTCAGGCAATTTTGAAAGTGAATGAATTTGTGCATGCAATAATCCGCTATAATAACATATTGTTTTGATTTAATTATGAATGAAATATTTTTAAACATCTTATTAAACAAAACGACGGGGAAACTTTTTGTTTTCTAGAGCAGTTTTACATCTGCAGTTAAAAGATGTAATTTGTTTGATAACTCGCGCATTTAATTATAGGTTAAGAACACATTCTTACCAAAACGTATCACCATATTTTCTGTTTCACTTACTGTGAGATCTATTGTCTTTATCTCTTTAATCAATTTTTTAAAATGTTGGATGGGGCTTTTGCCATATACTCAAAGGGGTGGGAGCGTTGGGATCTTGCAATATACACAGAGGTGGGTTTGGGGGAGGGGGGTGGAGGCCTGGGGATTTTGCCATAAACTAAATGGTGGGTGGGCGGGGGGAGGCTGAAAAGGGTTGGAGATCACTGGATTAGTTGGAAAATACGGATTTGAACCCTAGACATTCGCTATCAAATAAGCGTTTAGCCGTTATTTCAGCGTGGCTCTACTTTCAAAATATGGCTTCAAATAATCCATGGCGTGACCTGGTAGTGAATCGAGAAAGAGGAAACGGACACAATATGATTAATTCAATAGTGTAAGAAGAATCGCCAGGCAGTACACACTGTATACAAAAAGAACCCTAACGTACTTTTTTAAGGATACACTGCTGAATTACAAAATTACCGACTTACCAATCCTGAGTGTATCTATACAGTGACCCATGGTTGCTAGTGTCACAACTCCAACTATAGTTGCTATCAAAGGTGTAGCAGATATAGATCGGCTTCTCCTACTGAATATGAGGGCTGCCATCATTCCAAAGTGCCAGATTGTAAACCCAAATGTGATCATGCTAAATCTGTATTTCCAGTTAGTTCTCCAGGTCTAAATCCTTTAGCTCTGAAAAATGCAGAAAACATTGTGTACGTAAGTAAATATGGGGGTGACTGCAGTCAAGCTAATACAAGGAATTCCAGAGAAATTTGACTAAAAAGCTCAACAAAATGAGAAAGCAGAAAAACGGGCACAAAACAGAACAACGTAACGTTTCGACCGGGCGGCCTTTTTCAAACTTAAGTGAACTACACAAATGTAACAACGAGGAGATGAGAGTATTTAGATCTCTAAGGGATGACGTGAGCAACGTTTAAAAAATGTGGTGTTGAATAAATGAAAAAAAAAAACGATAGCTAAAAATATAGTCACAGAAAATAATAAACAGTAGTATTGTTAATGTATAATATAATACTGGGAATAAAAGAAATACAAATGTTAATGATATATAAATGATACTGACTTATAAGAAATACAATAAAGTGATAAAATGGAAAAAAAAAAATAAAAGAGAAAAAAAATTAACATTTAAAATGTAATAAGAGTAGAACTATTTAGATGAAGGTATGTTGGATATTGATACCACTTGGACTAAGAACGCCTAGGCTATGGATAAGGCGATTTTCTAAAGCGAGGCGCATAGTATGATCACCAGAGAAAGATTTTAATGCGTAATTTTTGTTAGAAAAGAAAGTAAGTAAAGTGTGCAATGTAAGTAAGTAAAATGTGCAATTTAGTGAGAAATGTAAGTTAGTATAGAATGTAATGAGGTAAGAAATGTAAGTTAGTAAGGTGTGTAATTTACTGAGAAATGTAAGTTAGTAAAGTATGCAATTAAGTAAGAAATGTAAGTTAGTAAAGTATGTAATTTATTAGGAAATGTAAATTACCAAAGCGTGCAATTTACTAATTACTAAAAAATGTAAATTTTTCAAGTAAATAATTTAGTAGGAAATGTAAGTTAAAAAGTGTGCAATAATATAAGAAATGAAAATTAGTAAAGGGTGCAAAGTAATAAGAAATGTGAGTTTGTAAAATGTGTTATTTAGTAAGAAATGTAAATTAGTAAAGTGTGTAATTTAGTAGGAAATATAAGTTAGTAAAGTGTGTAATTTACTAAAAAATGTGTGTTAGGAAAATATGTAATGTAATAAGAACTATTAGGTGGGTAAAGTGCGTAATTTTTAAAAAAATGTAATTTAGTAACATGTGTAATGTAGTAGGAAATGTAAATTAGTAAAGAAAATAATGTATTAAGAAAGTTTAGTTAGTAAAGTATTTAGTTTACTGAAAAATGTAAATTAGTAAAGTGTGTAATTTAGTAAGAAATTTAGGTTAATAACATATGTAATTTAGTAAAAATGTAAATTAGTAAAGTATGTAATTTAGTAAGACCAGTAAGGTAGGTAAGTATGTAATTTGTTAAAAATTATTCAGTTACTAAAGTATGTCATTTATTGAGAAATGTAAGTTAGTAAAGTATGCAATTTAGTAAGAAATGTAAATTAGTAAAGTATGACAGTGTGCAAATTAGGTGACTATAGTATGTGAGTAAATAAGCTGAGTATGTAAAACAAGTTTAAAAAAAAGTAAATCGGTTGCTAAAACCTAGCAGTATCTTTTTTGAGTGAGTAAAAAATATGAAAGTAAAGAAAGTAACAGGCGTATATAAAGTAAGCATGCAAGTTAGTAAAGTTTGTAAGTATTTACGTAGAGTAAGTTAGTAAAGTAAGTATAATTAGTAAAGTAAGTTAGTTAATTAGTAACTTAGGTACCAGAAAGTCAGAAATGTGTAAAAAAGGCAAGTAAAATAATTAATTTAGTAAATTATTTAAGTAATTGAGTTAGTACAGTAAGTAAGTCTTCTTCTTCTTCTTCTGCCTTACTAACACCCCCCCCTCCCCCACCCCCTAAGTGGGGCACAGGCTCTGAACCTTTTTGTTGGTGAGTACCTCTTCTTAGCTGTTTGTTTTTACTGATCCAGTAGGCTGATTATATTTACCTACTAATTTCCTTGTGTTACTGTAAAGGTCTCTGAGGTTTCATTTTGCTGTCTCGCTTCTTGTGCTAGGTCGTCTAAATATTTCCTTTATTCTGCCCTTTTCTCCTCTTAACTTACTTATTAGCTTCTGTGTATTTTTCCTGAGCTCTCGCTTTAGAAGCTCTAGTTTTGCTATTGTTTAAATCTGCATTTTTATTTTTTATTTCTTCTATCACTTTAATGGGTTTTGGTGTTATCCATGCTGTATATTTGCATTTTTTCTTACCAAGAACTTCTACACAAGATGCATTCCAGATTCCCTTGATCTAATCCCAGCAGACTTCAGTGCTAACTTCTTTACCTAGATGCTACAACACCTGGTACTTATTAGAGACTGTAACTGAAAACTGTTCCTCAACTTCTTTATCCCTGAGATATCCTACATTAAACTGGTTCCTATGATGGATATATGTTATATATAACTTGTAAGTTTTAACTTGATTTTGCTTACCAACAAAATATGGTCAGTAAATACATCGTCACCTCTGAAATCCCCAACATCATAAATGGTTGATCTAGAGTTTTTGTTAATACATAGGTGATCTATTTGATTGGTTGTCTTATGGTCTGGTGATTCCCAATTTGCCTTGTGTAGACTTTTATGTGGCAAAATGCTTCAAACTGTAACATACTTGTTTCCTGCACAAAAATTGGTGAATAATTCTTTATTTTCATTCATTACTTCCAGTCCATGTTTTTCCATAATCTCTTCCTAGCCTGGGTTATCTGACTGTCACATATCACTCCTGTCACGTGCCTGATTTAAGGATTTCTCCTTAAGAACCAACAGCACTCAGAAATAATTATGTTGAGTCGTTTGGCTCGTATTGGTCTAAGGGATGCCCCGTGGCCAATATACACTCAACTTATTTCTGGAGTAGGGCAACTCAAGTTTTGGCACTACAATATATATATATATATATATATATATATATATATATATATATATATATATATATATATATATATATATATATATATATATATATATATATATATGTATATGTATATGTATATGTGTATATATATATATATATATATATATATATATATATATATATATATATATATATATATATATATATATATATATATTACTTTACTTTACTTTTTCCTTCCACGTATGCCGCTAAGCGTTGTGGGGAGATGCAAGTTCCTGTCGTAAGCAAGGCGGGCAGCATCTGATGTTCTGAGGCCATGCTTTTGGCAGGTTTCGGAGACCCCGTCAATCCACCGTTTCCTTGGTCTTCCTCTTGCCTTATATCCTGAGCTTCTTTGGTTGAAAATTTGCGATGTTATTTGATCATTATTCATCCTGGTTAGATGTCCAAACCCATTTCATTCTTTGATGTTCTATGTAGTCTAAACATGGTGTAGTTTTGACAGTGTTTCTAATGTCTATATTCTTTATCCTGTCTAGTCTGGTCTTATTCGCTGCTTTTCTTAGACATTTCATTTCACAGGCTTCTATTTTTCTTTCGTGGGTCTTGTTGATTGTCCATGTCTGGCACTGGTAGCAGAGTGTTGGAATGAAGATGGTGTTTATCAATTGTCTTTTGGTCTTCATGGTTATATCTGGATGTTTAAGCAGAGGTGATAGTTGGTATGTGACAGCATTTGCTTTCTGTATTCTTGTTTCTATCTCTCTGTCCATTCTTCCATCCTCTGTAAATATACTGCCCAAGTATTTGAACTCTTTGGTTTGCTTGATTTTGGCACTTCCAACATTTATATTCAGTGGCCTGTGTGTTCTGCTGATCTTCATAACTTCTGTTTTTTCTGTACTGATTCTCATATTATGTTGTAAACAGCTGTTGTTGAGAGTAGTCAGATGTTCCTGTAGATCATATTCATTTTGATACAGTATGCTTTGATCATCAGCAAAAAGTAATTCGTTTATAGCATACACGTCTGGGTTTGCTTCTACAGTGATCTTATCCATGTATGTTATGAAAAGTAATGGTGACAGTACACATCCTTGTCTGACACCAGTTGTGACTTTGAACCATTCAGAAAGACCACTAGATGTTCTTACTGCACTTTCACTTTTTTCATAGAGGGCTCTGATGTTGTCTAATAATTGACCCTGCACTCCGTAATCGTCAAGAATTCTCCACAGCACATCTCTGTCTACACGGTCGAATGCCTTCTCTTGGTCTACAAAGACCACGTTCAGCTCTTTATCGTATTCGAGTGTCTTTTCACAGACTTGTCTTAGTGCAAATATGGCATCAGTGCAACCTCGCCCTTTCCTGAAACCGAATTGTGCTTTACTCAGTAGAGGTTCAACCTTTGCTCTTATCCTACCTTCTAAGATCTTTGCATACATTTTCCCCACATGACTTAGTAAAGATATTCCTCTATAAGTTCCACATTCTCTCTTGTTTCCTTTTTTCTTCCAGATAGGTACTACAACTGATCTTTGCCAATCCACTGGTACCTTTCTCTCTGCCCATGCTCTATTGAAAATTCTCTCCAGCCAGGTGATCATAGTGTCCCCTCCAGCCTGGATGACTTCTGTTGTTATTCCGTCGATACCAGCTGCTTTGTGTCTTTTACTTGTTTTGATAACTTTCTCTACTTCATCCCGCAGGATGTGTGGTTCTAGATGATCTGGAGCCCTTGAATGGAATTCTGCTGTTTCATGTATTCCCGACGGGTTCAAAAGTTCTTTAAAATATTCCTCCCATCTTTTTTTAATTTCTTTTTGGCTGAATAATGGTTTTCCATTTTTATCATTTATGACTGATGTTGGATTGAAGCTTTCTTCTCTTAATCGCATCGCTTTCACACTCTTATAAAAGTCTCTTGATGATTCTGTACATAGCTGTGTTAGGTGTTCACCATACTTTTTCCATGATTCCTCTTTGGATTTCTTTATTGTTCTCTTGGTGTCTCTTCGGGTTAGTCTGTACCTAATGTAATCCTTTTCGTCTTTTGT